GAAAGGAAACAACAGTAAAACGACTTTAAAATTATGAACACGAGTGTTTATCGTTGAATGCATACATATGTACATCGGTACATACACGTATGTACATACACACATATAATGAATCGTCGTCGTCGTTAAGTTGTTTGATGTTCGGACATTGACGGCAGAAGTGATCACGACACAGCGACAACAAAGATGTATAAAAGCGATGGCAGTAATTAGGTGAACGCTTCGCTAGATTACAGGTGTCTACGAAAATATGTATCCACTAGTAGAGAATAAACGATGGATGTGAAATGGCGGCTGAACAAAGGTGCTGCGAAAAATTATCTCACTCGCTCGTTCGTTTGCTTTGTTACTTTTTCAATATAAAATGATGAAATAGCGTGATTTTGCATTTGTGGAAAAATTTTAATGAAATTTATGTAAATATTAAATTTTAATGGGAATATGCATATATGTACAAATGTATATACAAATAAATAGATATATATTATTTGTATTGTATGTACGAGTACATATAATTATTTCATATAATTTGTGGTATTTTAAAAGAAAAAGAAAAGGCCGTTAAATTAGAAACAAAATCCAACAACCGCAAATTTTTAATAAAAATTAGTAAATATGTTTGGATGTGTGCATACATAAATATATATCACAAGAAATGGTAATGGTACAGGATAATTTGATTTAAACTGCAAGCAAATAACAGTTATAGCCTTCAACATATATACATACAAACATACATATGTACATGCCTGCATATACATACATACATATACATATATATATGTATGTACACATAATTAATAAACTTTCTCACCCCATTTGATAATGTTATTTCAAAAGCTTATTTTGAATCGAAATTTCGCTTATCAGCGATTTTATTAATTTTTTTTGTATGTTTAGTTATACTTACATACATATATATGTATGTATATTGGTATAATTACATACATAGTAATATGTATATTTCTTTTCTGTTTATACTAAATGCATGTAAAGTATAAATACTTCAAAAAACCGCCAAAAACATATTCATATATATATATATATATATATATATATATATATATATATATATGTGCATACATATACTTATAGTATACATATGTATGCACATAAATACATATATACAAATGCATATTAATATTATTTACAAAGCGGATACCTTTACTCGGTGCAAAACAACTTCGTTTGTATCGCCGGCTGATTGTCTAACTGCCGCAAACAGAAACGAAAAACAGTCTAGATAAGCAACAAAGCAAACTGCGTTTTTTTTTTTTGGTTTTTGGTTGCTCCAGCCACAGCTGCAATGGATGAAATACTACTGTGAGGACTTGATATAATGAACAGTTTCAAAGAAAATAATTGCAACGTGTGAAAAATACTATATATGTACATATATATATAGTTTATATATATTATATATAGTTTATATATATATATATAGTATATACATGTATGTAACCGTTGAAACTGTTTTCAGCCAAGCTCCTCCTCCAATTTGTGGTATGCATCTTGAAGTTTTCCAACCAAATGGACCAACTTACAGTTTATTCTCAGTCACCTCCAAACTGTCCATCGATTTTTATAAGGAGCCCATATTTTCACATCAGAAATTCACTCGGGGGGCTTGAAGTTCCTTGCCGAGGGGCGGTCGCAATTCGAAAAATTAATATTCTACATTTTTTGATGTTCGCCGAACAAGGACTCGAACCCCCCCCCCCGATTGTTAGTACGCAAAGGTGGCCGCAATCGCATATATTTATGTACATATATAAATGTATTAATATTATATATAAAAAGCTTTGTTCTAAATGACGGACAGATCAACGCAAAGCCCAAACGGCTAATCGTAGAGACATGAAACCTAGAAGGTTTGTTCTATGTATGTAGTAACTATTCGATAAGAAAGGATTTTCTATGAAGTGGACCTGGGCATACTCTTTTCGAAAGAATCAATTTTTTTTTGGTGTTTGGAAAAAACATTTTGCCTAACTTAGTATATTGAAAACTTTTCTTTTCGAGAAATGGAACTGGGAACAATCTCTTAGAAAATTTTTATTTTAGTTTGAACACTATGGCTTCGGAACAATTTGCTTGAAATTTCGGAATATAAATATGTAGGTATTTACCTAGCTTAATATGTATATTTAGGAAACTTTCTTTTCGGAAAGTGAAACTTGGAGCAAAACCAATCATTTTTAAATTTCATGCGAACAAAGTCGAAGGTAAATACTAGTCTTTACGTACAAACATACATACTCGTACATATGTAAATGGCTCTGCTTTGAAGGACTGGCAGCTCAACACGTAGCCTGGTACACCGATCGTTGAGACAGGAAACTTGAGCGGTGTATACCCTAGGCTTCGATAAGAAATGATTTTCCGCGACTTGGTTCTGGAACACGGCAGTTCGAAAAAATTGCATTTTTTGTTCGATTTTCTTGAAAATTCGCTTCTTGAAAATGTTCTCCAAGAAATATACCAAAAAAATCGTATTTGTGGTTCGATGCGTTTGAAATTTAGAATTCCAATATGTGATGAAAGGGAGTAGCGTTGAATGTTCCTTAGACACGAACATACATTGTAAGCAACTTTCGTTTATTAGGAGTCCTATGTTGAAAATACAAGCTAAACAAGTTTTCAAGTATTTCGCCCTTTACCCAGGATTCGTCCTAATTAAGCTCAATTTATGAAAACTAAATAAAAAATCAAATGTACTGTCGGAAGATCTGGGTTCGAGTTCTGGTTCGACCAACAAACTAAATAGAAATAATAAAAAAATATTTTTTCCAATTGTAGTCGCCTCTCGGCAGGGCACCTTTCGAGAGTATTTTGAACATGAAAATCAGAGCAGCTCATAAAATGATATCCACTATTCGGAAGCGGCTTAGAATAAACTGTAGAACACCTCCATTTGTTGGAAAATACAAATTAAAGGAGGATCTCGGCTGAAATTCGCTTCAGCGGCTATTGGCGTGCTCTTCTATTTATTTCTCGATTTTTCAAATCTACATAGTGGTTAGCAATGCGTATGCTACCACTCGGGAGGATTATAGTTAGTTGGAACACTGGCCAGACAAACTTGCAAAGTTGAAAAAAATTGTTTTTTCCAAGCTCGGTCACCGTTCGACAGGAAATGGCAACTTCGCTTCCAAACAGAACCTTAAGGCCCAGACTTTCCTTATACATACTTCTACACCTATCCGTTTGGAGACTTGTCGTTGTTATTATTGTTCACTTAAACCATACCTTACTGTACCTCGCCATTTTACTTAATGAACATCAATATCCTTTCCCATGCCATAACCTCGCTGCTACGAGATAGGAAATTTCGTCAAATCAACTTAATGTTCACTTCATTTCGATGTCTTTGTATTTAATTTCGATTTTATTGTCAATATGCACATACACATATTCTATGTAGGTATGCATCTATGATTTTTCTATTTGCATGCCTAGAAGACCAAAAAGATGATCATACTAACACTGCATACTTCGCGCATATGTACGTATGTATGTATGTCTATAAATATATGTACGTATAGCATATAATTTATACGTAAATTTCGTTGTTGAATCATAGTCAAACGACTTTCCTAGCCGACGTCCAAGTGAATGTAATATTCCTCCTACAATTCTTTTATGGCTTTTTACTCAAACATTTGCATACTTATGTACATAAATATGAATGTAAGCATGCATACTTGTAGGTATGTATTTGTAGATGCACACATACATACATATGTATGTACATACATATATCCGTTTACAGTCTACTCGATTCACTTACTACTACATGCGTGTGTAAACGACGCAAAGTCGGTTTTGGTTAAAAGTAGCAGGTCATATCATTCTAAATCATTTTAAGCAGGGTTTCCCAAATCGTGTGGTACAGCACCACCCACCAATTCCTCTATCTCTTATAAATTGTATCTTATTTGTGTTTTTAATTATCTCTAACTATAAACTTTTGCCTTTACATTGCTTTGCTAATATCCATCTTTAATTAGTTCTATTCACCCTTATCGAATATGAATGGCTAAAAGTAAGAAAATCGCAAAAAAAATAGAAACATTGCAGACCACTGGCTTTTTCCTCAAAATATCATGCCAACAACTTTAAATCTATAAAAAAGTGCAACCACAACGAATGCCCAATAACGCTACGTCTGCTTTATGCCAGTATCGTAACGAAATTTAGCAAACCATAAACAACATGCATATACATACACATGTACGTATATGTACATACATACTACAAGGTATGAAATTTTTGAATTCGTAGCGTGCTTTTTGTAGAGCACACAACGAATTGTGATGCCAAACAACAAGCCAGCCAGCCAGCCAATCTACAAACCCTCCAAACTGCCGCCTGTTTACCCCAAAAGCCAGCCATTGCTACCTAACACACACTACTGCCTGATTCATCTACCACTCACGGTCGCAACGGCACACTAATCGACGCCACGTCAGTCTCACTGACAAACAACACACTCACCGTTCAGACAACAGTCAATGTAACCAACGAAACGACTAATTTTTGTGATATACCTATCGAATGATGGGGAAGACGCAAGGGACGCGTAGCAATAGCTACATACATACATATGTAGTACAGCTTGCACCGTACCGCGCCGCACCGTATGCTCTTGCTACCCTTGGAATGCTGCTGGCACAACGATACAAGCAATTTTCAAATTTACCGCCAAACGACACTACACTGTGCCGTGTCGAGACTGTACTCATGAAACCCAAGCAGTATTTGTATGGAATTACTCAAGAAACCCTCTAAATGAGTCACCAGCGGTTTGGGTTTTATTTGAAATGATTTTTAATTGATATCAAAAAATAGAGGAGATTTTAAGCTAAACATTGATATAACCCATGGATCGGTGGGAATAAGGATTTTGAGAGGGTCCATCATTAAAGTTTTTAGTAAGCAATGGGGCACGCATTATGCGGATCCATCAATTGTGAACACATCAGCTTTGCTGTGGAGCAGACGCTTTTAGTCGCAAACGGACGCTCAACGAGTACACATCTCGGTGGTTGAAAATACCAAGAAAACGTTACTGAAAAACGCTCTCAACATACTTAAATATACATATTGCATAGCAATATAATACAACATCAGCAGTCGACAGCAGCTAAAGCCACAGCTACTACCTAAGCGCTTTTTCTGTTGAAAACTGCCAGCCAGTCAGTCAGCCTGCCCGATTGATTGTATAGTCAGACGCCATAGCGTACACATTGCTGAAGCATACAAGAAAATCATATAAAGTATCTATCATCTGCTTACCTATAGCTCTAACTAGCTGTTAAAGGCCATTACGCCATTGCTTTCACATTGGTGCGATAGAGAAGACAAGTTACTTCATTTATTTTAACGTACATATATTGTCCTCTTCGTCCTTGTCGTTGCACTGAATTTTATAATTTTTTGTCTCGTCGTATACCTTCGGTAGACCGACTATTGTTGTTTTTGTGTCCCACTGTAGATACAGATATATACATGTAGATACATTTACGTACAAAGTATCTGCCTACTGCGAACAGAACAGTTCGGTTCAATTGAGTTGAGCATAGAACCAACGTACATCGCTGAAATAACATTTAGAAGTTAAATACACATCGCATTCGACAGTCTCGAGCAGTGTGTCTGTGTGCTTCGTACTGAGTGGATCATCGTTGCAAGTTGTACGCGTCTTGTGTTTAAAGCAAATAAAATAAATTTGTAATATTACAATTAAAAATAAAAATATAAAAGTAAAAAGTAAAAAGCAAAAATAACCGCGCACGCAGTTATATAAGTTAAAAAATATATAATAACAATTTAAAAGTTTATTCACTTTATAAATAAATCCAATACAAAAACAAATCAAAGAAAATGTCAGCCGCCACAGAACAAAATAATGGTGATGTCGCTGTTGAGAAAGTTGCCGCCGATGCCGTTGATGCGGCAGCAGCCGTCAAGGAGGATCTCAAAAAACCTGCCGTCGATGAAAAAGTAGCGGCCGCCGATAATGGTACAGCGTCGAAAGGTGCTGATGATGAAGATGCCACCGACGCCGCCGCACCCGTCAAGGGAGTTAAAGGAACAAAGCGGCCTGCTGAAGTAAGTACAAATGAATTCATATTTATACATACATACATATGCATGTATATAAGTTTATGGAAATAAATTAACAAAAAGTTAGTTCACAATCAGGATGTAAAAGGACGAAAATCATAGCGCAACGTATGTACATGCATACATATCTCAAAAACATACGTAACTACAGTGACCGTTCAATAGCCTTCTGTTTTAATGCAAAAAAATTAATTAGTGCTATAAGGCGAGCGGGAGCAAGCTCTGCAAAAATTTGTTTTTCTACGCTAGCAAAGCTCCGTAAACTAGGCTAACTTTGTATCTCTGTATGTGTGCTACGTCAAGTACTCATATACCTACATATACACAAAGTACAGAGAAGTCAAAGCGCTTAGGAGATAACACATAGTAGCGTGCGGCGAAGGCGAGGACAAAAGTGTTGAAGAGAGGATAAGTAGTGATTTTGACAAGACGTTTGACAGTAGGGCTATAAATGTTTTCGCGCCTGATTACTCTGCCGTGCTTAGTTTAAAGAGCGAGCTATGACTATATGTAAAAACAAAAGCATTAAAATTTCAATGGTTTTTACCGCACGATAAGCATTTGTTCTTGAATGGCTAAAGGAAAGTCACAATTTATACAGTACAGTTACTGTGCTGGAAGGAGTTTATACGACGAAACTTCAAGATTTCTAGACCCTCGCTTGAATGGTTGAATATATGTAGATATATGTAAGTCTGCAAGTATTGGCCATAAATTGGCTTAGCGGTACAAAGCGCAAATTTATACATACATATATATATATTCAAGTATCAAGACTACTCGGTAACTGTAAAAATGTCCACGTCTCCAAGCTTTAATATCTGGTATAATACTTTCAACATTAGCTGATTCATCAAATATACCACATTAGATGAGCATTTGTATGCTTTGTGGTTCTTATTTACCATGAAAAGCGCACAACTAGTTGTAAAAATCCAATATTTCAACTTGTTTGCCAACAATAGCGCAACGATAATTCCGCTCACCAATTTGATAAAACACATAAAAATAACAATATTCATGCTATATTTGTATGCCGCTTATATATGTATATATGTAACCAATGAATAAAAAAATTTTTTGAAAGAACATTCTAGAAACGGCAAAAGTGGTACATACATACATATGTATGCATGCAGGAGCAGTTGAGCATTTTGACTTTATGCATATGGAATATTTGGTAGCTGAAAGCAGTAAGCTGGAAATTGCATATAATCCTTGTGCTATATAAATAAAATGTATTCTACATGTACGTATATTTGTATATATGTACATATGTACTTAGGCGCGCGCATTTCAACTGACAACAGTGTTGTTCCTTATTCTCACATGTTTTTAGCATCCGCTCTACAAAGCATTGACACACGCTACTCTCGCGCTCTCTTTTTCTCACTCGCTCGCTATTCCCACACATGCTCTCTGCATGGCATATCTGTACGTCTAGTCAATAGCACGTTTTGTATTGTATATTTACGCAATTACTCCTTCCACAGCCTAAATATTGACTATATACTTCCTGTACTTTGTTTGTTTTTCGTCAAGCAGGACCATTTATTGTACATACAGTTATGCGTCTCAGTTATAGCGGTCGAATGATGGTCGTTTCGTTGTTCTCTTGAACTCCCTCAGTTTTGTAATTGTTTCCATTAAATAAAATTATACGCAATGGTGCACACATTAGGCACAGTAATGATACGACTTTGTGGTTAGAATCGACTTTTGTTGTGGAAATTTACGTATTTTTCTTTGCTTATCTGCAAATCTACATATATACTTCCTATTTGGTAAAAAAAAAACATTATTCAAGTAAATAAATTGTTTAATAAGATTGAAAATACCGATAAACTTACTTACTAAGCTAAGGATACGCGGGTATCAGCGGGGAAAATCAATACTTTCTCTAACAATTGGACGTACACCTACTAATCCCTACGCAACCAAGCGCGCAAACGCCATACTTGTAGCCATTTCCACTCACACCATTGCCCCTGTTTTTCTTTTTTTTTTTTTATGTATTTTCTTCTTTTTTTTTGGCTCAAGTTGTTGTCTTTACTCTTCGTTGTTACGATATGAATGGTAGGTGGGTAACCGAGTTGGTATGCTATATTACACAGCAGTTAATATGGTAAAGTGCAGAGAAAATATTTCTTTTTATAAGATTATTTTAGTATAACAGCGACAGATTACAGCGGTGCGTGTAGGCGTTTAAGTGCGCAAGTAGGGCGCATACTTATATGACACTGTAGCTAGCTTTGTGATAAAGGCTTTAAGAGCTAATTAAATGAGCCCTTATATGCTAATTATCTGTAGTCAGGCATGTACGATTACTTCGAAATGACTGTGATAGCGCTATTATACAAATATATATGCTTAGGTGATCTCTCAAAGCTCTATTGATCGCTTATTTGTTTAAAAAAATTTTTCTCCAATATGCAGACATACACAGTTTTCTTTTCGGTTGTAGTGTAGTTTGTTACATATATGTAAAAACAAAAAACCATTAAACAATTTGTTTTTGACGTTTCTGTACCCTGCCGTACGCCGTGCTGACCAAATGATCGTAAACTGACAATATTTGTTAGCTCATTTCATTTGCTCAAGTGAATGTATTGGGAATGCATGTGTTTGTGCGAAGGTTTGCCGGCCGGCGTAGCAGAGAAATGACCGCTTGTACTCTTCCTCAACTGACTTCCTTTTTCGTTTGTACGGTATCGCTAAACAATTTATTTTCGTTATTTAAATGCTGTGATTTATCTTCCATCTTAACTTACTACTCTCGAATTGTTTTGTAATCAATAATTGGCTTAATTTGAAATTTCGTAATTCCAAGCTTATCGCTAAAAAGCTTTAGTTTCGTGCTTGTTTCAATGTATAACTTCCATTTGATTTCTATTTAACACTTCCAACCTTTTATGACATCTCTTTTGAGTTTTGTTCTTATAATATTTATACTTGATAAGCCTATTAGCTAGCTTTCTAATCTTATTTTTCCAGTAATATTATTTTTTTTTCATATACTCATATACATATAACAATTACCTGTAGTGTTTTGGCTGATTTACCGAGTGGGTATTAATGCATACTCTACAACTCTGCTCTCTCTCGTGCTCATCATTCATTTGCTGTACTCTCTTTTTTTTAAGCGCTTATTTAATAGATACACTTGTTTACTTGCTTGACATATATGCATATATATATATATATGTATGTATCTCAAAAGCGAATAGCCCAGTACATTCTGTAGCTACTTGATGAGCACGCGGTAGGCAGAGACATCAACAAAAAATGCAGAAAATACAAACAAAAGCACATAAGTGGATACATAATAAATGATGGCATTCCATTCAAAATAAAAACAAACCTGTTATATACAACCATTCATTATTTATGTATATTGATACTTACGTTTGCTGTACATTTAGTTGTCTCTTTCGCACACTTGTTTATGTATGTATATTATCGCTGTCACTTATCACCACACATTCGTGTGAATATCTGGTACGCCGGTTTTTTCTTTTTATTTCTTTTATTCTCGCAAACGTTGCTTTTAGTGAGTGGGTAGGCTTCTGCTACTGGTAGATTGTTATTACCGCTTTCTGAATCTTTTTAATTGTTGCCCGGTAAGCTTTTGTGATATTGCCTTTTTCTGTTACATTTCCATTGCTAGAATTTTTTTTTTTTTTCAATTACAAAACTATTCCACATACAGTCACATAAATACAGGATGTTTAAAAATCAAGTAATTAATTTTTTTTTTTCAAAAAAAAAAAAAAAAAAAAAAAAAAAAACTTATTTGATTTATAAAAAGTAATTTTCCATCTCTATTTTTTTTTTTTTTTTTTTTTAAAATAATTAATTTTTTTTTAAAAAAAAAAAAAAAAAAAAAAAAAACAAATGCTAAAATCGGTTGAAGAAAAATTTGAAATGTTTAGTTGTAGAAAAAAGTAATATGTGTATGAATATGGACTTACAAACTTCCTTATTAGCTATAAGCGTTCTTAACGATTGCTTCAGCAATTTTAGTTTTACCCAGTAACGATGTCACATCGTTTTGGTAATATGAAAACTTAACGAAATGATTGTATCGTTTCGGCGCCATATTATCCGTACAAAATCGTCGCTAATGTTAATTTAAAATGGCTGATTGCTAACATATTAACAGCACACTTAAATTCTACCTTTTAACATTATCTGTTAACGACTTAACAATAACGAAAGCATATCGGGTTTCTAGTAAAAACGATATAAAATTAATTTTTATAACTGATTCAATGATAAAATTACCAAATGTTTCATGTAGCGGTGTAGCGGTGTAGCTTAGTTTTTACTATTATAATTAAAAGAAAAAAATAATGTATATATTAAAAATTCTGCAGTACTTCGGAGGGTAAAGCTTTTGTTAGTAAATGGTATTTAAAATTAATAAAAATATGTTGATTGAGGCGCGCTAAATATGTATGTCTATATTTAAAAATTCTTTTACCTTTAATACAAAACTTCCCTTACAAAATTTGTTTTTTTTTTTTTTTAACTATTGAACAAAACTAAAAAAAAAGTGGCAACACTGATTTCTATTTTTACTTTCACGCCAATTCTTCTTCATATTGTATTTTGAATCAAGCTTCTAACTTTTAAAAATTATTCAATTCATTAAGGGAACAGGTTTACACTCTTTCAAGGTCACGTTTTTTTTGTACACTCTAAACTTTCGTATAACTAAACGTTCGCAATTTTTTTTTAGTACAAAAAGCATGCTGCCTAATTTCGAAAAATCGAAGTCACTTTAATCACAACGCCGAAATCGGGCATGCGATTATTGAATTCCAAACGTATTCTCCCCTAAATCTAATGGAGTTACATACATATGGACATACACATATACATATGTACATACATATACATACGTGAATCTATTTTTTTTCTGCGTCTATTGTTTAACATCAACAATTGTACAGTTGGAAACAGCAGCGGCGTGAGCGACTTATTTTTACACGCTGTCACTTACCTACACTCGATTTTCCAACAAAGAAAAAGCGTTTTCTAGCTACTTCACACGCTGTAAGCGTATGTCTGTGGGTCTGTGTATGTGTTCTTTCCTTTCGATTGTGCCATTTTGCGCTATATTACACTCCATACACACTGCAATACAATTATCACGCTCTGCATATGTACATATGTATGTATGTGTGCATGGGCGCATTTGAAAAACATCGATTACTTGCACCGGCCGCACACCGGCGGCGAACTATTGCTATTCTACTCATTCATTCAAATATGCTGCTCCTTTTTGGCCGGTAACGTCCGACGGCTGCCTTGCGACAATTTGCGTTCATTGTACTCGCACACATTTTTTTTGTTTGTTTTAACCATTTATTCCCTCTTTGTGGGTTATTCTATGTTTCTCCCTTTTTAGCTGTTTCTTTTTTTCTTCTTTTTTTTTTGTTACTGACAAGTTATGTTCCACGCTGTGAGAATACGTACTAGCTTCTTGTAAATCAGCAAAGAACGTGCAGAATTTTTTTTAGCATATACATATAGCGCGCGTGTTTGTGTGTGTATGTGTGTGTATAAAGTGCCGGCCGCTGTTCCCCTGCTGCTAGAGCATCGTGTGTGCCGAAGTGAAGCGAATTCGTAAATTTCCATTATTTCGCCGCCATTTCTATGGCAGGCTCTTGTACCCACGCTGTTCTAATGGGCGCTGTACTAAAAGTATTTTATTTATTTTTTTTTTCGTTTCGAACACGTCATGAGAACGATGTAAATATCTAATGAATGCAGCAATTATGGAAGCTTAAATTTAGTCTCTTTGGGTCTCTCTCTGTTTCTTTCTCCCTCTCTCGCTCTGTCTATCTGTTGATGTTTGTGGTCTGCTAATGCAATGCAATAAATTTCGAAAATTACATACAAACGAAAAACTGAGATAGATAGCAGCTGTTAAATTACGTACAGAATTTTCAAATTACCTACATAGATACATGCATACAAACATACATTTGTACGTTGTAGGGTACGATAAGCCTACTTTTACCACCATATGTACACCACTTCGGTATTTCCGATTTTAGCTGCGTTGTTCGCCTGCATTAAGACTGTTTGACGCACAGCTTACAGCAGATGGCATACGCCGACATCGACTCTGCCGGCCGATATCCGTTTCCCATCGCATTCACAAGTACAGTTTACTACGACGGCAGCTGACGATTGTCCGTTGTGTTCAGCATCAGCAGACTTCGTCGGCGTAGTTTGTGTTTGTATTGCTTGACTTGTTTGTAAAGTAGCGTCGTGTTTTCTTCCATTTTAATTTTTCAGCTATTTACACTGGAGGGTTGACGATTATCGTTGCTGCCGTTTCCGTCGACCGCCTTCGTGCAGCTGCACAAGTGAGAACAGTTTGTAATGGCGGCGGCGGTGTCGGCGGTGACGGCGGCAGGTACAGTGTTGAGAATGAATGATTCAACGAATCAGCTCATGAGTTTTTATTAGATCACTCACTAATGTGGCAAATGAACGCGTGACTTTTTGAAAGCCCATAACGGTACTTACTATGCCTATTACATTAAATATTTATGTATGTATATGCCATATTTTTGGCATTTCATATGACTTAATTAATAGATATGTATGTATGCGTCATTTTGGTATAAGTCAAACACATTGACTTTTTTATAATTAATATACAAATAATAATAGTAATAATAAGTAATACTTATTATAATTAAAAAAATTATAGTAAAAATATATGTATAGATATGTATATAGTTAAGCAACTTGCTCTTTATTCATGATTGTGAACTAAAAATAAATAAAATTATTATTATATTTATAATCATTATTATGATTTTATAGAAAACTGAAACTAAACGTTATTTTAAATTTGTATTTTTCCAGGCAAAATCTGCTGAATCAAAGAAAGCCAAAAAGGAGAAGGCCGCTGATGCTGATTCAGATGAAGATGAGGTCTTAGAAGAGATCATCGAGGGTGATAGCGAGATTGAAAGTGATGAGTACGATATCCCCTACGATGGTGAGGAGGAAGATCTCGAATGTGACGGTAAGTGTCTACAATAAAAAAAGTATACATATGTATATAGAAAATATACATATACATCAAATCAAAATTTTTTAAAATATACTTACATCACAACTAATTACATCTGCTTTTTTTTATTGCTCCTTCTCTTCGCAGATGATGACGATGATAATGATGACGGCTCTGGCTCTGATGATCAGGCGTAATAATAATATAGTAGTCAAAAACCATTTAAATTAAATATAAAAAATTTAATTAATGAAAGAAAACTTAAAAACAAACAAAAAAAATAATGTAATAACACAAAACAAAAATAATTATGATGATGATGATGATGATGATGATGATGAGGAAGAATGAAGTATATAATTATTATGTTAAGAAATACTTTTTTATTTCTTATTTTATTTTAATTGTATTATGTGTAATTTTTTTTATAAAAAAATAAGAGATATGAAGAAGATGATCAACAAAACAAAAGGCGAAAAACCCACAAACTGCATAATTTTTTCCTTTACTCTTAAGTCTTACGTACATACATATATTATAATTTAAATATATATATATATATAATTATAAATATATATACATACATATATATATATATATATAATTATAAAAGAACTTAAACGTAATGATGAAAGGATGAGTTAAACAAATAAAATTTAAATAATTATGAAAATAACAATAATGAGATGAAAATGATGAACACAAATTACAACAATAGCAATTAGAAACGTTACAATTGAGTAAAAAAAATACAAAAAACATGAAAAGTATTTAAATAAAAGAAAATTATGTGAAAAAAATTCCAAATTTGGTCAACTTTATTTGAATATGTGTGCATACATGTGTACACTATGTATGTACAAGCAAAAAAGCAACGAAATGTTATTGGTGGGGGTTTTTTACTACGTGTTAGCTGCAATTATTGAACAATTTAAATAACCCTACACATTTGCCGCTTAAAGAAATTATGCTGTGGGAATTAAAAAAAAAATGTCTCAAACAGCAATTTTATTGAAAGTTTATTTACAGTGTCTAGCCATGGCTAAAAATAGGTTCAATTGAAATACATACATATGTATGTATGACTAAGAAGCAAGATGCGCGTACACAACTGGTAAGTGTTGGAAGTGTTTTGAGTTAATCTATAAATTGAACTTTCATTAACGACTACGATTCTGAAAACCGTGTTTTATCAACTAAAACTTTCGTTCTGATGCATGCCTTATGCAAGTTAATTTTATTTTAAGCAATAACATTTTATATAGAAATGATAAATAAAATTAAAGACGTTTTTATATTAGACATTTTTTGTTGTTATTTTATTTATTATTTATTTTTATTTTTTTTTTTTTGTTCAAAATATCAAAGCAAAAATATATATAATTTATTTTACTATTTTTTAAAATTACAAGACAAGTAGCAATATGTATGTATGTATTTAATATATGTTCAACCAATTGCATGTTTACAATTTAGAAAAAAAAATTATAATAAACCCCTTTACATACCCTCTCCTACACAGTATTTACCAAGTATTGTCATGCAATAAATATAATTACAATTCTATTAAATGCATTTGATACCAAAAGTATGTATACCAACTTTTTGATTATATATTTATGTAGGTGTGAACTAATAATAGTATTTATAAAGTATCAGAAAGAATATTCAACAAACAAAAGACCTGGATAATTTATGTACTTTCATATACGAATATGTATTTACGGACACACTAATTCTACTAAAAGAACAAAATAAAGTTACTAATTAATATACTTACATACATGTGTATACATAAATTGTATTATATTAAAAGTTTTCAGAGATCTACATAGAGACAAACATATAATATGTTACTAAATAATATTCTTATATTAAGAAATACATAAATAGTATACCTACTAAGAATTTACTAATACATAAAGGCGGTTTTACCCTATATATACAATATATGTATATGTACAATAAAGCGACATTATATGTACATTTGAAAAACACACTAACTTGTAGTTTTATTGTTAATATATAACAATATGTATATATATATAATATATTAATTACAATTAACCGCGAAGACCTACACATTTACATATACAAATTTCCATATGTGTGTATATACATACATACAAATATACACACATTAGCGTGTTAATAATTTTTATGATTAGGTGAAAAATCCCACGTCATTCTAAATGCGCGTCTTCAATATTAAACATAAGAATGAGAACGAGGTTTCATATTTATATTTGCCTAAATTACGTTGTTCGCTCTCTCATTCGTAATTCACGCCAAAAAAAACACATGTCGAATTACTTAATTGGCTAGATAAAGAGAGCAAATTGTGACGTTGCTAGGTATCTTTGATTTATTAGGCGAAAATTTTTATGCTTAGATGTTTATTCGACGGAGTTATGACCTAAAACATTATACCTGAACAAATCGGTTGTATGGCAGGTATATGATATAGTTCGTATATAGTTTGTGCATACATACATATGTGCATGTGTATAACGCGAAAATCCATACTCTTACGCCGTGTCAAGCGTAGACACGGGCACGATTTTGCGGTGTTTGCCTGTGACAAGCTGCCCGCGAAATCGTGCGTGGAATACGAGAAGCGTCCAAATACAACGCGATTATGCGTTTATGCGGGTGGCTACAATAAACATATTATTCGGTTGATAATGTTCTTGTTTTCGGTAAGTAAATTTTTTCTAAGAAAACAGTTTATTAAACATGAGAGCATTGATATATAAGTACAGATTAGTTAGCTGCGTGATATTGTTGACTTTGAGCTGACTCCATTTCCTGTAACAATATATCCTGAAATTTGGTCCATACTCGAAGTTTTCTAATCGGATCTAATTTTTTCAGAAATGAATAAATTGATCTCAAAAAAAGAGAATTTTCATCTTCTGATGCTTCGAGCAAAGCTAGATTTTTGTTTTCAATATCTAAAAGCCTATCCACCACGTCGTTTACACCTTTATGAATTCTTTTTCTCCTTGGACGTTTGGCGGACGATCGTAATTCATCCGATGTTGGTTCGGTACAGCATTTGACACTTCATTATCTGCTTCAATTGGAGCAGTTGAATCTTCTAACAGCATCGAAAAATTTGCATCTGTTTCTCTTGTGGTCAGTGTGTCTTTAAAAAAAAAAACAGGCTTTTGAAATACTGTCACTTTCCTGTATATATTGCAGATTGCTCTTGTGAAGCTCTCCCTTTTCCCTTTTGGAATTTTTTTCAATTCTTTACTGAACTGGTTTCGCAAACTTCGCCACTTCTTTCTAGCATCCTCTTCCGAAAATAAAAAAAAAGGATAAATTAATTTTTTTTCAGGTACCTATCGACAGGAATATCATTTAGACAAATTGTTTTTTCCGTTCAGAATATCGTAGTCATCTGTTGCTTCTATCGTCGGAGAGGTTTGCAAGGCCATTTGAATATCGCTTCAAAAGACACAAATGCCTGTACCGAGCATCGAACATTTTGAAAGGGTATCAAAAGATTATTTTCAAAAGTGGAATTTACCTAATTGTTTGGAGAGTATCAACGGAAAACACGTTAGGCTCAAGTGCCCAGCAAATTCTGGAAATATGTACTATAACTACAAAAGTTACTTTTCAATAGTGTTTCGATGCGCGCTATCGCTTTTTAGTGATCGATGTTGGAGCGTATGAGAAAACGCTAATTATGAAAACGAATTATTAACGGAAGATTAGCGTTTCCAAGTGCCAACCTTGCAAAAAGCCTCATTCTATCTCATGATCATGATCTATGTAAAATATTGGAGTGAAGACTGAATCTTAATAATGCTTGTATATATGTAGGGAAAATTTTTGTCAAAGCTGATTTCTAAATGCAGTTGCACCTCGCAAAGTTTTGTCGAATATTTTTTAAATCTGCTACTGCAGCAAGATGAGAAGCGTCCTTACCAGTGAAACTGCTCCATTAGCTGATCCTTCCGTACGATATCGAGTGCCCTTAAATAGATAAATGTAAAAGGCAATGAAAAATTAATTAATTAATTAATCCAAAATAATGTTATTACCACAGCTTGTACAGGACCCTCATCATATATTTTCCACTTCTATCTGCTGCGAAGAAAACGATAAAAAATGGCGTTCTACTCGAAAATATGAACAAACAAAATCGGATAACCCTTTTCACTGCATTCTTCTTCAATTTGTATGTACTCAGAATAGAAAGATAAACAACAAACAAAATTTTTATATGTGTTAGTGCTGCCCGAAATCGTGTTAGTGTATTGATGAACCCATCAGCCTGTTCTTGCAGGGAAGCCACTGGAAACACTCCAAAAAGTGTCTTGGTTAGCGCAAGACATATGATTCGCTTTGCTCGGTACCGGCGGCAACAAAACTCCTAAGTTTAATTGCTCTATGCACTCGGTGCCGGCACGTGCCGAATATAGATATTTTTCACTCTGCTCGCTTGTTTGAAGCGCTTACGATGTCAACTTACTCGACTCCAAAACTCACGAAACTTACCGAATATGTGAAAAGGCGTGCCGATCCAAAGCTCTAATACATACATATATGTATATGTACATACACGTATGTAAAAAGTATGAGATAATCACACTAGCGAAAGAAAAAATAAACCACCCTCAACTGCAGATATACCTACCTAGGTATACTCGTATGCACATATGTAAGTATGTATGTGAAGCACACAAAATTTTTAGGAGCACAAATCCTGAAACCCACCCAGGTACCCACTCTTACATCAGCGCCTATTAGAGATTCATAAACAAAGTAGCAACACAAAATATGAAACTCATTGAAAAGCAAATGGGTTGGCCCGTTAAATAGAACACCGAACGTGTATATACATATGTAAACCGAGAGTTTTCGTCAATAATCAATCGATACACATGCAAATCATTTATAGGTGTTACTAATGTGCGCACTCAATCCATGTACGTACATATGTAAGTATGTATACAAATATGTTTTCAATTAAACATTAAAAACAAACTTACAAACTTACATTGCGTATAGTCTTCAGTAGAGTTATAACTTATAACAGTTAATAAAATAAAAATTTCGAATCTACTGATTTCCGATAATTTATCTTTTCTAATTGATCCCTCAATAACACTTTGTGTTATTATGTATGATAGTGAGCTCATCCTTTATGGAAGCATGATTGATCAATGCTGAGCTGAGTTTTTAGCAGATTTTAAATACCGCTGGGTTGAGTTGTTTTGGCCTAAGCAGAATTATTTTTTAATCTTGGGAGATTCCTTGACTTGATTAAACGAACTCTCACCGTAGTCAGTTGTCGTTGTAAATATCGACGTAAACTACGTTAGATCGTCAAAGGGTGGGTGGAACGTTGTAAAAGTTGATTATGACCTCCACATATAGTTTTGCCAAGTAGGTCACACAGCTCATACGTACTACATGGATTTATCTCTCTAAATATTCATAGATGTAGCCAATTATACATTTAGTCATAAGTTTAGGATTATATTAATTTCTTGTTCCCTTTTATGAAAGGAATGTTATTAAATATGCTAAACTATTAACTGCGAAAAATCATGTTCAAATATTATAATCATAACTAGATACATATATACATAATACACTTATCCATTCAATCCTTTCTTAATAACTTCATTTCATTTAATTCAAGTTGTTGTTTCTGTAAAAATATTTCTTCTCTGCGTAACTTTTCTATCTCATAGTTATGCCTGCGCTGTTCTTTCAGTTTGTCATTTGTTGACTCATTTAGTTTATTAACTACTTGAAAAATTTCATTCAGTCCAGTCCCTATTTCTTTCATGGCTCGCAAATTTTCATTTTGCAATTTTATATTTTCCTGGAGAAAGTGTTGTACTGCAGCCATCATTGATGTTTGTTGTTTTACAAGGTTATCTAAAACATCTGCGTTTTTTCCACTTTCCTCGCAATGAGTCTTGTTACTCTTTTTTAAATTATTATCCTCCACATTTTCCATTTCAATTTTCACATCAACCGCTGTGGAGTTACATATGGCAAATGGCCTCACGGTTATACGGTCAACCGACTTTTCATAGTCGTTGCTTTTATTCTGAAGCATTTCATTAGTTGTATCAAAATCTATTGGACTTTCGTCATATTCGTTATCTGGCTCATCGGTCATCAACTCTTCTTTAATCACATTGGTGATACTGTCAGAAAGTAAACTCAATTCTTCTTGAATGTCCGAGTTCGTATCAAAATCAACACGGGTATCAGTGTTTAAAAATCCACATATGCGTGCTAATTTGTTTTCGATAGCTGTTAAGGGAACTTTTCTACATGGAATGTCATCTTGATCTGCACCGTAAGAATCATTTTTTTCTTGGGAAATTTTCCGTTTTACCGATGATCGCCAATCGAACCAAACCTACAAGAAAATGGTTAGGACTTTGTACTTCCTTTGTGTAGGGATAAGAGGAGAATGTTAAGCGTTTATTTACCTTCTTCCAGCGTTCTGGTGGTTTTCTTGGTGGACCACGGCAATTAAGGCTTTTAGTAAGTAATTCCCACATTTCATTTCTCGTCTGTTTGTTCTGCTTTAAGCCACGAGCGAGACCAGCATGTTCCTCCATAAAATTAACCATAATAAGTTCTTGTGCGCTATTTTTATGCCTGCCCCTTTTAAATTTGAACAACAAAACTATTAAATATTTAAAAATTCATATTTATAGAAAAATTTCACTTACATTTTATAAATGCGTATTTAAGTATGTACTTATATAGAAAAGTTATGAATGTCAATGCAACAGAGTGGTTTAAAATCACACATAGTTCGAACGATTTGATTTCACTTTTAAGTTCGAATCTACATGAAAATGGAACATGTAAGAATAGGGCCAATCTTGTTAAAAAACTTGTTAAAAATTTGCTTTTTGAATTATTTAGAAGTTCAATAACATTTATAATTATTGGTCAACATTTTAAATAATTCATTTAACTAAAAAAATTTAAATAACTTTTAGTGGTTTCCAGCAATCTAGTTGAAATGTTCCTCATTTAAATTTTTCTTCCTATTCATCGCCACCCTGTTGTTTTGACAAATTCATGATTTGTTTTTTTTTGTTTTCAGAAATCATTGCCATGAAAATCCATAAAGCTTGTGAAAATACGAATTTCTGCTGAGACTTTAAAATTTCGTAATGGATAAAGACTCAGATAGCACCGTGACATCATTGGACGAGAATACAGAAAATTTCTGTTCAAATCCCACACGTGATATATTAGCGGAGGGTATTCTGAACTTGTTTAAGCCCTCGGTAGAGAAATTGGATGAACACATACAAGCCACCCGTGCTTCTCAAATTGAGTTAAAAACGCAATTGGACGCTCTTTCAATACAGCTGGTGGAAATCGAAAAGGCTCAGAACAATATACCTGAATTTTCTAACAAGGTTAAAGAATTAATAAACGTGAAACATAAGGTAACGGTTATAACCAATATTCTTAGCAGTAGCCAGGATCGTTTAACTGGATTATACAGACTTATAGAGAAAGAACAGCGGCGTAGACAAGCGCTTCTAGACTCGGCCATCAGCACCAACATATCGTAAAAAAAAAAATTAAAATGGAAACACCCTTCACAGACCACCTTACAACGGCGGATTACGAACAAATATATGAACCGGCAGAAGATTCCTTCTTATTATTGGATGCCTTAGAAATTGAATTGACATATATCAAAAGCCTACAGCCTCAAGTTTGCTTAGAGATAGGCCCCGGAAGTGGTATTATTGTAACTGCATTGGCTAAAGAGTTGAAGAGAACCCTTTGTTTAGCTACCGATATAAATCCGCTTGCTTGTAGCGCGACGAAGAAAACGGCCAAACGCAATGATACGTGTGTTGACAGTATAAACTGTAACTTGGTTGACTCATTACGTGAAAAGTCAATTGATTTACTTGTATTCAATCCACCTTACGTGGTAACTGCAGACGAAGAATTGAAAAATCCGTCGTTTATTGGTTCACAAGCATCAAACAATATTGTATACTCGTGGGCAGGTGGTGTCTACGGAAGGCGTGTTATAGACGAGCTAGTTAATCGCTTAGACAGGATATTATCCGATAAAGGAGTTTTCTATTTATTGGTGTTACGTGAAAACAAGCCAAATGAATTGATCCGAAATTTAAATGAATTGGGTTTTTTGGCAATTATATGTATTGAAAGGCGCATTCCTGGAGAATATTTATATATTTTAAAAATAACCCGAAAATAACATGTTCAGATTTTTGTTATGATAATTAAATAAAATAATAATATGCAAATATTTGATTTTCAACTATGCTATAACAGAAGCATGAAGATTACAATATTATTCCATTGAATTAGTTTGCGGTACATTTATTTTCATTTTGCAAACTCTAAAGACATATATGCCGTATATTAAGTTTGTAACTTAAACAAAATATTGTGGTTTGCGCATCGTAATGCCATGATCAGCCAAAGCTGGTGTGAGGTCTTCAACAGCTAGGGTGTAACGACGATCCTTGTTCGGTTTTTTATCCTAAAAGTGTATGCATTATAGTATTTCAAATTATATGCACACTTTTATTTTTATATACACACCTTGTTTGAGCCGTGTCCACCAGAGTGTTGACTACTTGTACGTGTTTTACAATGCTGCAAAGCGTCGTTTGCTATATCAGATATGAATTTCTGAGCTGCAACGGAAATTATGCGTACTATACGTGGATCTATAGTTTCGAAACCAGCCTGATTCAAATAACGTGCAGTCAGTGCGTCAGGGACTGTTGGTATGTAATCCTCCATTTGATCTAATAATTCGCCCAGTGCCTCACTTGGTGGTGGTGGAAGCGGTTGTGAGTCGTCCTGTTCAATGGGCGGTGATGCAGGTGAGGGATAGTTTTCCTCGTTACCAATAACCATTTCAAAGTCCAAAATAAATCTTTTACTTGCAACAAAATAAATACGTCTTTGTTCACTATGACAAATGTCTTGCAAATTTTCAGTAGAAATATAGAAATGTGAAAAACATTGAAAATTCGATGATTTTGTTTCTGTCGACTACTTGGCTCTGTTCAGGGTTGTTATCAGTTGCTAGAGATGGGAGCGGAGATAATTTTGTTTTAATAATTTGTTTTTAATGGCAAACGTAATTGAAGCGTTCGGCGTACCGTTTACTTACGCCTCTTTCTCTTCAAGTTCGCATTATTTTAAAAACATTTAATAAATTAATTGCGTTTATTTCAAACAAAATAATACGAGCTTAATCGGTAAGCAAAAGTGTACCTTCACCTGTTGAATATTTATCATTTTACGCTCAAAATACAAATTATTTGTTCAATTTTTCTTCAATTTGCTTATTCCTCTGCGTCAGTTTATCCTCCTTTCTTTCAAATTTTTATCCTTCACATCGAACTTCGTCATATAACCAGATATAACGCGCTGTCAAAATCGAAAATTCCATTTGCTCAACGTTGACGCCGCGTTATTGTGGGATGTCCCATACAAATTGTATGACCATGAGGATTTTTGCCAATTGCTTAGCGCTCAACGCTCCAATTTAGAGATAACAGTGATAGACTCGAAATGAATTTTGCTACGTCACTGTCATGTAAATAATTAATTGGTAAAAATTACCCACCACAAAATTTGCATTGTAAAGTTTTTCACTAAATGAGCAACGATAATTCTCCAATTCCTTGAAGTTCGGTTAATAGGTTGTTACGTAAAAGTACCAAAATTAGTTGTTCAGATTTTATTGTTGTAAATACTCAGTTTATGAACTCCTTTGTAACACACAGTTAATACCGCTTCACGCCGATGTTGTAATAACCGAGTTTAAAATTCAACTGGACAACAGTATATCTCACAAGTTGAGTTAGTCGTTTATTTTCCTCTCCTCTCTGTTTTTTACCTCCACTTCAATAACATGTTCTAGAGCTCGTGTACCGAATGTTCTGTAATTGTAAGAAATTAGCAGAGCTGAAAATGAGCAATTGGTAAGTCAGATGAAGTCAGTTACAAAGTGATTTTGTTGATGACAACACACTGTCAAATGAAAGTAGTAGAGTGTGAAAGTAGTAAAATGAGTGTATAGTAAAGTTAGTGGTAATGTATTGAGTACATTCTTTACAATTAAGAAATTGTATATACCACAAATTTGGTGACTTTTTTTTAATAGACCAATGACCGAACTTGATTTGGATTTGGGAATCATCGTATTTATCAAAATTACTATATAATTTTGGCAAACTTTTATCGATAACAAATCTATCATATTTCGATTTTTATTTAGGAAATAATAATAATATTGTTACGATTTTACTAAATCAACCTCGATTATTTTCTAGATCCTTCGGGTACGATCTCTGGATTGTTAAATAAAAACTCGCCAATTCAATTTGCAGTTTCTTTCGTTATAAAGATTTTATCTAATGTCTTTTATTTACTCCGTAATTCACAATACAATTACAATACACTCTACTATTTACAATCACTATCATCAACTTGCACAATTCACTCTACTTCAATGTACTCTCCAACGTGTTTACTTTACGACTTTACTGATGTTAACGCCAACGAGTTTACTTTATCACTAACTTGACTTGCGGCTGAGTGCCGCCTTTATATAGCAGTCGGCTGCTCGCAGACGAAAGCGTAGAAGCATCGAATTGTTCGCTATGGAAGGTTCTTGTTTTATCGTACTAGTTATCGGCTTCTCTCTTTCATCTGACATTCGCCTCGCATTTTCGCAACAATATTTAGGTCGGATGAATGGCAGCTCTGTATTTGTCATTAGTACCAAAGAACGTACGTACTTTGTTAGTACCTTGGGAATTACTTGACGTTTATTTTAGTTAGGTCCAACGCAAAAACGAATAGAAAATAAACAATATTTTCATTTACATATTGAAGAAATATAATGATCGGTACAAATTTTGGTATATATCGCCCCAACTCTTCGAGCTCAGGTGTGTCCGCTGCGCCCGAGGAAAGAGCCGCTGTTCAACAGTTGAGCGATTTCATGCTACAACTGGAGGATTACGTGCCCACTGTCCCAGATGCAGTGACTGCGCATTTCTTAAATTCTGCTGGTTTCGAATCAAATGACCCTCGTATAGTACGCCTTATATCAGTGGCCACACAAAAATTTATTTCTGATGTTGCCAATGATGCGCTACAGCAATGCAAAACTAGATGCAATACCCAAAGTAATCTACCTGGTACACACACACCGGTGAGTATATATATATTTATATATATGGATTCCTAAGTGACCAGTTTGATGAATATATAAATACCTGTGTTTTTATAGGGTCAAAAACCTACAAAAGATCGCAAATACACATTGACTATGGAGGATTTAGCACCTGCACTCGCTGACTACGGCATAACAGTTCGCAAAGCACAATATTTTCCATGAATATAGCTATGAAAAGGCAAAATTTATTATTATGACTTTTTATTGTATGTTATATTGTTTATATTCACATGAAATACAATTTAAAATATAAATGAGTAAAATTAATATACATATTATTATTTTAGCAATTTAGTCTTAACTATTTTTATATTACTGCGTTATGATTTATTGAATAAGTAATTACTACCTTTGTGTGTGATAAAATACATGATTTGAAGGAATTTACCAATATATGAATTTTTCAAAAAATACTTCCAATTCATGAATTTGTAAATGCTGTGTAAAATACACTGCAATTATTGTTTTTGTGAAATGATAAAATCATGAATTCGAACGCATAAACGAAGTAAGAGTAGTTGATGTTAGAAGGAAAATGCTTATCTCATTGACACTTTATAAAACGTAAGAGCGATGTTTTGCTTCCACCTGCTACCTTAAATGCTAATGCTGCTGTAGCTAATAGAACAATGTAGTTTGGCAATAATGTAGCTATGTACAATTCATTTGCATTAAGCAATGTGATAAGAGAAACAAAGAGATGAGTGACAACAACGTAAACTATGTGGAAATAATTATTAATATCAAATGCATTAAAGAAAATGACGCTCCAGAAAGTGTGTAATAATATCATGGCAAGTGCTTGCGTAGCCGAGGTTATAAGGAAAATATCTGAGCCGCCTTTAAGTCCCATCGTTCCTGGACCGGACTGTAATTTATAAAATAAAATAAAAAGATAGTAGTAAACAATTTCATTTAATAGAAATAGTTTTGGAACTCAAATTTAATCTCACATCAGATAAATCACTCACCATATCTGCAAGAAGATTCACCATTGAAAACAAGCCTGATATGATACCAAATCCAAGTCCAGATACATAAGCTAGTATATGTTTGTTTTCGATTACGCCCGGATTTTCGGATACCGCTTGAAGCCCTTGTTCTGTACGTCTCAGTATACGATAAATTATATATCGAAAACTTTCTTGAAATAATACAGAAAATATGACACCAAACCAAAGGTATTCTCGTATTGGCACAAGAGCGAACCAAAGTAGGGAAGATGCCAAGAGCGATAGTAGCCAAAAGAAGGCTGCTGCGATGAGGATAATGATACGAATTGAATCATTTGCTATTGTGAAAACAAACATTGCAAACGGTGTCCCGAACGCGATGAAAGCGCAACCAAAGAATTCCGGAAGCGTCATTTTCTTTACAAAAATGGTAACAACAATAATAATTTGTGAGATTTACTGCAAAAATAAAAATACACCCAAAACACTTTAATCAGGAAATAGAACTGTTAACCAAAGGGGTATTACCAGATAGTGAAAAAAAATTTCTTGACTATTTATATCGATAATCGCGAATAAAAGTAGGTAATCACGCAAAGCAACTGATTTTGTAGAATTTTTTATTAAAAGTGCAATTTCAACAACCAAAATATCATATTTTAAATAATTTCATCTTTTATTTGTTGATGCATTACAGTTATAAGAAATATTAACGATGTTTAATGACTTACGTTCTTCTGAAGAACTTTCGGTATCACTGGTGGAACCAAATAACGTACGCTCTTCGTTTAGTATTGCACTTTCATTCACAACTATTAGCACGGATTTATATATTAGCAAATCAAGATTAGACAAATAATAAATAATATAAACAAAAGTTGTTTGACCGGGAAAGATACACAAAAGTAGTTAACATTTTAATAAAAAGAAGTAAATGAAATAATAACTATAATGACATAACAATATACACCATCTGTTAACTTTTATTTAACAACAAAGTAAATACATAAATTGCTTTGCGAAAACAAAATTTGAATACACTTCTGCATCTCTTCGATACCCAAGGAATCAAATATTAGTCATTATACTTATAAATATATGTATATATAAGATATCTAAAAGCGTTCATATACTTGAGGGGAGATGAATAAACCTTTGTTTTCTTACAGGCGGTTTTTATTGACGTACAAAAGCAGATTAGTAAAGAAAGAAAGGAAGGGCACAGCAAGCAGTTAGTAAGCTTTATTAACTGCAGTTTGTATATTTTTTCTGAATTAGAAGCTAATAATAATTATGGAAATTCTCATATAATGAAAACATTTTACAACTTAATTATCGTGAAACTTTGAAACAGATCTCCATAATTATTTATTTTGCATATACATACATTTCAGATACGCACATATATTTATGTAGATATTTATAACAAAAAGAAATAATTAAAACTCGATATTCTTTCAAAAGTGCGTGCAGCAATGGCGAGAAGAACACAGGTACACTCTGTGGAATTATCCGATAATACAGAAGAACTTGAAAGCCCTGAAACTATAGAGTCCGGTTCTTTGGCTATACAAGATGATTCTGTTAAAGAGCCTCAAAAAGGTAGGAAAATGTACTTATTCACATTTTATATGTCCTAAACTTAACTTTTTGTTATATATATCCGCTTAGATTTATGGGAGCGTCCTCAACCTACATCTGCACCCGTTTTGCCCGATGACGGCTCCACCATATTACGCTTTGAAATTCAGCTAGCACGCATAATGCCTCCTGATGGTGAAGATCTTAAAGTGAAACGTTATGTTGTCTACGAGTTATCCATTCGGCAAGATTCATCAATTATAGACCCACAGCCAGCAAGTATTCAACGTCGTTATACAGACTTTCGAAATTTGTATAACAGCCTTAAAAAAGAATTCCCAAGCAAAATGACTACGATATATTTTCCGAATAAAGTGCTTGTGGGAAATTTCTCCCCTGATTTAATCGCAGAACGTAGTGCAGCATTTGAATCATTCTTAACACATGTCGCCAGCAGTAGTGCATTACGCGAAACGACAGCGTTTTTAAATTTTCTGCAAGATAGTGAGCTAACTAAGGCATGTCTGCTACTCGATGAACGTCGCAATGAAATGGCTATACCTTTATTAGAAAATTGTTTTCGTTTGTTAAATAAAATTTTCATGGATCGCTCACGGCCAGTACTACTAATTTTGTGCCGTCTGGTTGCAGCTTGTACAATGTCACCGGTGCCACATCATTCAGCCGAGCGTTGGGCATCATTAGCCCTGAGTCGTTACGATACGCTGTGTGACATAGATCTGCTACAATTGTACATTCCGCTATTGCACACATGCACACATCTATGGCGAGTTTGAAATTTTATTAATCCATCTATTTGTTGATAATAAAGAATGATTACCGTTGTTTTAGGTGGCAGCGTGGTTTAGATCAAAAGCCCATAACTGATCGACTGGAGGAAATGTCGAAAAAGGGTATAAATACAAAAAGTGCCCTTACACTTATACAGGCTATACACAAGTTGGATCCACGTACAGAAACAATATAAGTAACATTGCCCATAAATGTTTACATAGTTAAGCATACTACTAGCTGGTACTTGGTACACTCATCCGTGCAAGATTATTTTTCAGTAGTAAATAAGTCGAAAAGTGCAATTGTTTACAAAATTACCAAGAAAGATGATTAAATTATTGCAGGCAATTTTATTATAGCGACTACTCGGTATTTTATTTAAAATCGAGCATACATGCATACATACTACATACATATATGCGATAATTTCAAACAAATGTGGTTCATCTCGAAATAATTTATGTTTTATTTACGTATACACTTAAAATATATCATGTCAATTGTTTTTAACGAATTTATAATATCAACTTTATTTTAAATTATAAAAAAGTAATATACATTTTAAAGTATTTTCTAACGCAAACATTTGTTTTCATTGCAATAAACATATCGTTTTGTATATTTTTTGTAGAAAAAGCATTTATATATTAACAAATATACAAAATAATAACCATAACCGACTCGAAAATATTTAAAATAAAACTTGATATTTTTTCAAGAAATAATTACGATAATTTAAATACACGATCTTTGAAAATCATTGTTCCATTTCTACTGGCTAGAAATGTTCTATCGACCGTATAAACACCATATAAATAACAGATTTTGTTTACAAAATTGGCGGCTAAACATTTGTTAGGATCAGCTGAAAACTAAACAAAAAAGTTCACATACAATACAAATATACATATTCATTTCAATAATCATGGAGCCCTGCATTATTGAGTTTATTGGCGAAAAATCAACAATTGGAATCGTACCTAATTTTTCTTTTGATCCCTTACACCTGATATCGGGAAGTGTAGGACCGTTTCGCGCTGGTCTGCCCGTGCACGTGCCACTATGGCTTGGCATACATTTGCGTAAACAACAGAAATGTCGCATAGTTCCTCCAGAATGGATGGACATAGAGTTACTCGAAGAAATTAAGGAAGCGGAAAAGAAATCAAAGTAAGTTTTACTCCAGCAGCGTATCTTTGTATCTCAGTTTAAAATAATTCACGGCTTAATATGAATGATTCTTCATATGCCATAGGTTCTTTACAAAGATGCCCAGCGAACACTATATGGTTGAAGCTCAATTGATCATGAGCACAGCGCCGGACGATGTGCCGCGCTGTGAAGAGTTGCGTACCATAATCAAAGATATATTCGACATACGCGAATCAAAACTTCGTACATCAATTGATGCATTCATCAAGGGTGAGGGTACTTATGCGAAATTAGACAATTTGACTCTTTTGGAAATACATACTGTACGCCCAATTCTGCCTCATTCCTTGGATCATATTGCGCGTTACCAACGAACAGCAATGGCAACGCAACGTGATACCTCCTCGCTGGGTTTGAGCAATTCTATGAATACGAGTCACTTTTCACAATAAAATAAATGTAACAAAATTTATTGTTTTTAATGCTGGGGCAAAGGGGTAAAAATAATGTGAGTTTCTGTTTTTATATTTGGATTATATTTGCACAGTATGGCATCTTCAATGAAAAAAAATTAATCAGCTGTTTATATATGTGGCTGTGGTGACGTTCTCTGTCTGTGCAATTTTCATTTTTTATAAAAGTAAGTGTTAAAAATTTTTTAATAAAAATTTCTAGCAGCTGAGATTTTAAAATAAAAGATGAATACGAACACGTTGGAAGTGGACAACGATGTTCATGACATGAACAGACCCACAAGCAATCGCATTCATTTTACAAAAGATGTAAAGAATGCAATCGATAAGGTATGTCTGTTTAAAAAATAATATCCAGAGATATACTAAGTATATTATTACAGGTGCTAAAGACGGATGATCCAATGGATTCACCGGATTTTAATACCGTCGATTACATTAATCAGCTCTTTCCGAATGAACAATCGCTGGTAAGCATTGATGAGACCATCCAGCGCATGCAATGCGAAGTGTCCCTCATTGATGATAATATACGTGCGGTGGTTCGTGGCCAAACCAATACTGGACAAGATGGGCAAATGGCATTGACCGAAGCTCAGAAAGTTATTACAACATTATATGCGCATATAATTGATGTAAAAACGCGTGCAGAGAAAACAGAGGAGATGGTTAAAGAGATTACTCGTGATATAAAACAATTGGATTGCGCTAAACGAAATTTAACATCCGCAATAACTACGTTAAATCACTTGCACATGCTGGTGGGAGGCATTGAAAGTTTAAATAAATTGATTGAAAAGCGGTTGTATGGCGAAATAATTAATCCACTGCAGGCGATCACAGAAGTAAATCAACATTTTAGACAATATTCTGATATTGAGGAAATAAAGGTAATATAAATAATTATGACATATATTACTATATAATTTAATAATAATATTTTTTAAATCTTTAATAATTCAGAATCTATCACAAAATGTAGATAAGATTCAAATAACACTGGCTAAACAAATCACAGAAGATTTTAAAGATGCTTTTTCGCCTAAATCAACTGGTGTTGGAAATGCTGGTAATAAGCAACGTTTAGGGTTAAATCAATTAGCGGATGCCTGTAAAGTGATTTCTGTTTTGGATCCCAAAGTTAAAAAGGAACTTCTTAAATGGTTCATCGGTATGTAAAATCACTATACGGAGGGTAATGTAATTTTTTTTTTTTAATTACATAGCACAACAACTGGAAGAATACATACACCTGTTCCACGAAAATCAAGATATCGCTTGGCTGGATAAAATCGATAAACGTTATGCCTGGCTTAAGCGCCACCTACTTGACTTTGAGGATAAATTTGGTGCTGTCTTCCCGCTTGATTGGGAAGTCTCTGAACGTATTACCGTCGAATTCTGTCGTCTAACGCGTGAACAACTCACACAAATCATGGCTAAACGCAGCAATGAAATTGACGTGCGTTTATTGCTTTTTGCTATTAACAAAACACAAGCATTCGAACAGTTGCTCTCTAAACGCTTCAGCGGCGTAACATTAGAAATAGTCACCACTTCACCTACATTGAAGGTACAACCGGAAAATCCTAACGCAGATCCGAATGCACCAGCCACAATTGGATTATTTCAAGATCAAATTGGTAATTGCTTCAAAGCACACCTAGACATTTACATTAAGAGCATTGATCGTAATTTGGCAGAGCTAATGGAAAAGTTTGTGGAAATGGCTAAGGAGCCTTTAAAAGTGGCCGAATCGAAGACTACAGTGTTTCCAAGGTAAGCGCAAAAAGGTTTCCGTAGAAGTATTTTGTTGTACACTATTTTCTCCTACAGCTCTGCAGACTTATTTGTATTTTATAAAAAATGCATGGTACAATGTAATCAGCTAAGTAACGAACAACCTATGTATGAGTTAGCATTGGTTTTTAAAAAATATTTACGTGAATATGCGAGCAGAGTATTAGAATTCAGTACGCCTAAATTGCTGACGACCACTGCATCGATAGGTGAGTTAAATAAACTGGAGCTGATACAATAATTTGTGGCATTATAAAATATATTTTTCTTTTCAAATTGCTTTAGGTAAAAGCATGTCCTTACTAACGCGTGATATGCAAAATCTCTCCACTGCTGCAGGCCAAGTTTTTCATAATTTCCTAAAAGAAGGCGACACACAACGTTTTTCTCGCGAAGATTTAATACAAATATGCTGCGTTCTTACAACGGCCGAATATTGCTTGGAGACAGTGCAGCAATTGGAGGATAAGCTGAAGGAGAAAATAGCAACAGCTTATGCAAACAAGTTGGACATGTCGGAAGAAAAGGATGTGTTTCATCGGTAAGTAAGAAAATCAGCTTTATTTGTATTTCAATTAATTTGCTTTATAACCTCCCGCAGTATTATTTCGAACTGCATTCAATTGCTTGTGCAAGATTTGGAAGCAGGTTGTGACCCATCCCTTCAATCCATGTCCAAAGTACAATGGCAGAGTATAAGTAATGTTGGCGATCAGAGTGCCTTCGTTAACAGCATTTGTGCAAACTTTAAGCAGACGGTGCCAGTGATTCGCGACAATTTGGCCACATCGCGTAAATATTTTACACAATTCTGCCATAAATTCGTCAATGCATTCATACCGAAATATATTAATGTTCTCTACAAATGTAAGCTCACACTTTCCGATGGTTCCAATAATGTCTTAGGTTGCGAACAACTTCTACTTGATACGCACAGTTTAAAAACAGCACTACTGGATTTGCCTTCAATTGGCTCGAGCGTCAATCGAAAGGCGCCCACTAGCTACACCAAAGTAGTTGTCAAGGATATGACACGCGCGGAAATGATAATTAAAGTGGTAATGACGCAGGTACAACCGCCAGCGCATTTTACCCAGCAAGTGCTTAAGCTATTGCCCGACATTACCATTGCGGAATATCAAAAAATCCTAGATATGAAAGCTGTCAAGCGTGTGGATCAATTGCAATTAATTGATTTATTCAAACATACAGCATCACATGTAGCTGTAATTGGTGATGGTATATCCGAAATAACATCATCATCGACTGAAGACGATTCAGTGCAAACACATTCAGAGTTGAACGTAAATGAAAATCCGGAAGCCGGCTCTTCTTCAACAAAGGGACTCAACGTTAGCGAGGAAAGTGGTGGAACAGCTGCTCCAACTGGTGGTGTTACCTCCACGCCAAAGCGTGCATTCATCTTCAGCGTTGGCAGCTTTACTGGTGGTGCAGATAAGAATGCAGATGGCACGTCGAATAGTGGTAGCGATCGTGGACGCATACGGAAGCTTGAGAGCTTATTGAAAAAACGTTTGCCATAAATTCAAAGGCGAGCATTTAGTTTAAGTTAATGACTGTTGATTTTTATTTGTCCACCATTTAGTTGTATAATTTTAATTTTGTTTGAATTTCGGTATTACATTCCATTTTGTTTTTTTTTTTTTTAACATATGTTTACATATTTATACATATATATATTATGAAATTTACTTTGTCCTTGCAGAAAATGAATAAAATTTTGACATTATTTACACAATTACCAATTGCTTTTATTGTAAAGGAGTGGCGAACTTATGCTGATGTAATTGAAGCACAAAAAAAGGAAGAAAAAGACAAAAAAAAGAAAAAAAATATTCATGAAGAAAAGATGTGAGAAATAGAAAATTTATATGATATAAGACTAGTTTACAAAGACCAAATTGTGCGCTAGCTCGCTTTATGTTCCTCCTACTTACACCACAAACTCCTTCATACATCATGATTCTGGATGCGTACGGAGGTCCGTTATCTCTGTAATAGATTAACCAAGAAGTGCAATATTCATATAAGAGAGGAGCTTATAATCCATTTTTTTTCGTGCTAAGCCATTATGTGGACAAAGAAAATATTTTCGTTCTTTACTTTGTTTATTTAACATAGAAATTTCAATGTTTTATTTTCACATTTACATTTTTAATTATTTAAATTAATCACCAAACTGAAGAGAATGGGTTCCATTTCTTTTGATTTGCATTACTAAAAATAAACTACAGGTCATTACTCGCTAAAAACTATAGTGAACCAGTTACATATTAAAATTTTGAATGAATATTTTATTACACACCGCATTTTTGGGGGTTTCGTGTACTTGCTAGAGGCGTACTTGCATAAATATACACAAATACTCAGTGTTTGGATTCAATGCACGATTCGTACATACGTACATACATGACTGCTTCCTTCTATTTTAATTTTTTAGAGATTTTATAAAATAAAATCTATTGTTAGTTAAATGGTCTAACTAAATATAATATAAGATTTTCTTGCCTATTACAGTTTAGGCCGTCGACATTTAAATAATTATTATCAAATATTGTTGATGCAATTTTTTATCGGTTTAGCAGAAATATATTTCACTATTATGAGTGGAAAATAATTTGAAAACCTAAGAATAAGAACGAAGATTGAAATGCGGCCGACAACCCAACCATAATAGGGTATTAGATTTTTAACTGTAGTATGGTCATTTGGCCTTAAGACCGAATTCTATAGTAGAATTCTCTACATTACCATACGTACATATGTATATTTGGGTTTTACAAAATTTTAGCTTTCATTAAATAAATTATGCAATTAAAAATATATATACATATGTATATAAATACATAATTATTTCTGACATACATACATTTATACTCGTGTATATTCGTATTTATAGATATATATAAATATATTTACATATAAATGCGTATGTAATCTAAATAAGTTGTAGTGCGATTTATACTTCTCAGTTTCCATGTTGATTCTAAATTAGCGATATAATCGTGTGAAGCCTTTCAACGCAACCGTTATTGTTTTAGGTGTATCAGCACTGCAATTAGTGAAGAGAGAAGTGAAATAATTAAAATAACTGTTAAATTGGTATATCTATCAAACGTTATATACATTTATATACATATTTTTGTTAAATCTTGCATATGCATGCATACATACCCCAATAAAGCGGCAGTGAAATCATTCAATTGTTGTTGCGTTGCCGTTATATAGCCACCACTATTGCGATTCGGTAATGCATCTAAAGCTGTTTTGATGTAAACCTGCATTTGTTCATTTGTCACAACCAATTTCAATTCATATATGACATCCGCCACATCGGGCAACATATACGAATGTAAGCTATACACAGATGCGTGTATAAGATTTACAATCAATGGTTCGCCATTTTGTGCTGCGATTTCCTTGACTAATGGTCGACATTCGGGATGACGTTGATTCGAATTTCGACCCCATTTCAAGAGATTGCAAAAGAATTTCATCACTGAGGAATTGGCCTCCCGATGGTCGAGTGTGCAGGCTAGTAGAGCACATTGGAAAATTGGTGTGACGAGTGTGCTTTGTAGAAAGGGTACAGGACAGCATTCGATGAAGCGCGAACAAAGTCTGAAGAAGTCATCAACGGTGTCGGGGTTATTCTTTAATCCATTCTCCACTTGCAACATGATAAAAGTGGGCTCAATATATGCTTTTAGCATTTCTAAAAGACCTATATGAAAGAATAGAAACAGGTTATTATTATAATTAATATTAAATTAACAATATATGTATAGTAAATATGTGTTTACCTGGTATACATTCGCCAGCCTTTGCGAATTCATCGACTAGCACTGAACCAAGATATAAGCAACAACTATGATGATGTAATGTGTAGATACAAATCATTTGCTTGACCAATGGTTCTACCAAAAACGCCGCTCGTTTACACACTTTACGCACACTGTAACGTATGAATCGGCAAGTACGCTCCATAATGCGTACATCCGTTTGATATTTGTCCATAACTTGTGATACTAATGGCCAGGCGTCGGTGAGTATTTGCACAGTGGGATGTAATTCATTGTCGGCGACATCGGGATCCGTATGACGTATAACTGCACAAGCGCGATCAATCCAGTAAGCGGGATCGGTGCGTTCACCTTTGCGTATTGTTGATAATGTTGCAGACGGGTTCTCAACCATTACCGCCAAAGGTTGTAATTGGAACGAGATGATCTCTCGCATAGATGACTCGAGTTGTGTTCGTTGTAGGCGCGACAGTATCAATGAAATGCCTTTTAATAGACCAATTGCTAAGTCGTTATTGATTTCAAAACTATCGAGCATGCGGGCAATTTCTATGAGACCACTAATGTGACAAACCATCTTTTGGCTGCAAGCTGAGCAGATGGAGGAGAGCGCTATTGCTGCTGCAGCTGCCAATCCGTTTTTTTGTTGCAGTGAATATAGAAGGAAATTAAGAAGCGATTGCAATGATTCCGGGAAACTATCAAACCAGTCACAAAGTTCACTTAGCAACAATATCGAAGTATAGCGTACAGCAATGTGCGTATTATCTGGTAGATTTACTATGGCCTCCACAACTTTGGGTATAACTTTATTTTCCCCGCTGAAAATAAGATGAGAAAAAAATATATATTAAAAAAGAAATTAAAAAAAGAAAAAATTCTTCGAAAACGTTTATACTTACGGTACTAAGTTTTTTGCAACATTCTGCATAATAAACAGCGCCGATTCTGTGGACTCCCAAGTCGTGTTTGGTGCTTGTAATAAAAGGAACATTTGTTTGAAACAGGCGCTGGAGCCTACAATAAATGCCACATCTTTGATTACATCAGATACCTTGCGTCGAAAATCCTAAAAAAATATATATTCATATTAATAAATAGCTTTACATCAGTTATAAGAGAATCTCACAAAATTTCTACTTACATTAAAGCCTTCGTTCTCGTCAATAAGCCCGTCATGATCAGCATCCATCTGTGCGTGGCGGTAAAGCGCTCCCAGCAACCTCTCAATGTGCGGTTTAAAATGACTTATTAGCGTATCATTATTCCGACTGAAGAGATCTTCACTTAGGCGATACCAGAAAATGAAAGTAATTTCTGCTACTTCGTAATCAAAATGGCCCACACACAATAGCACCAAGTCGATCCCCTTAACAGTGTAGTGCGGTACATCTTCTTTTGAGAGCATTTTATGCAAGAAAGCCTCACATAATACAGTAAATATGCGGCAATAATTTATTGTCTTATCGATATCTTCATTTGCAACACTCATATGATATGCAGTTTCAAGCGAGCAAACTGCATTAAAAATGTGTGCTTCCATTGCCGGATCCAAACTGGAACGATCCTGATTAACCTCAATGCAACTAAGTAAAGCGCACAAGCACTCAGTACATGTGTCATGTAATTTTCTGGATGTTTCGCCACTACTTAGTAGTTGAAAAACTTTATGGCCGACTGAATTCTCGGTGAAATGGTGTACTGGTATAGCTTGTGCAGACACCCAAGCACTGAAACAACGTATGGTAGAATTTACGAGACGCTCTTTTTGTCCATCAGTGTGTTGTGTGCACATACATAGAAATTCGAGCACTTTGGGTGCTGCAAAATCTAGTTGCATATGTATCTCCTCGCGTCGATTAGCACCCAAACGTAGATAACGAGAATCAATCTCTTCTGGTATAAGTGTGAGAATCTCCAATAACGGCCAAACAGATTGTGGCTGTGGTGAAAGCATATATAGTAAGTCAATAATTGGCTGTTTCCAAGCGGCCATAAGTAACGCCAAATCAGCAACAGCTAAACTTAGCTGGGTTACAATTATTGCATCGGTTTCATCGGTTATTTGCCCGATATGGGCAATTAATGAATCGCGTAAAGATTCATGTGAAGATGGTGGGAGTTCATAAAATGAATTTTGAATTTTGTTACGCATTGTCTGTGCTGCAAAATAACACGAATGTAAATCTCGTTTTTGTTGTAATAGCTCGTCCGCAATAGTCCATGAAAATATCTGCAAATAACGATTTAGTCTTATTAGTATGTAAATTTCTCAAGCATACAAATTTTTTTTTTTGAAATAATTGATAACTCACCGACTTTTGGAACTCTTCTAGCCATTTGTTAGCCTTCTCCTTCTCCTTAGGGTTATTATTGTGAAAAAGGGTACATATACCCTGATAAACTAACTCAGCGGTGGGCGCTGTCTCCATGTCTACTTCAACACTTGACCGTATTCACTAAATAATTTCTTTTATTTATTTAATTTTGCCTTGAAGTTGTATAAATAACTCAAAAATATTGTCTTTACACTTTTTCACAACTTCGGCTTGTCTGAAGCAATAATAAAACAGTTTGCTAATTCTTCACTTTTGGGTAATGCAATGGAACCGAACACAGGGTGATCGTAATTCGATTGGTAGGGTGCGCAGATGTGCTGCAATTATTTCTTCTAAACTTTCAGTAAACTATTAGTAAGTTGAAGTTTTACTAAAAAATATATATATTAAATTACGTTGTTTATACATCAAATTTGCTATTCGTACACTAGTGCAATGAGTTTGCTGTGCTGAAGCGAAAGTAATACTAAAAAAAATAGGAATTTGATGCGCTATTTATACTAAGCACAACAACAAGAATTGGAAAAATTAATACGGCATGATTATCGTCGTTTAAAATCTCTGCATAATTTTAGGAAAAAACTATTACTGCAGGCAATTAATTTTGTCTAAAAAAGTGAAACCCGCAGATTAACCCTTTTTAACCCTTTTAACGCAGGTAGTCCCCTTATTTCATGAAGAATGTTATATTGCATATACACACATACATACTCACATGTTTATTTTAATTGGTGTTGTTGTTGTGACCTCGAAATATTTCACGAATTGCTTTTCGGGTAATATTGCGGGTGTGACAGCCCTTGGCTGCATAATAGTCCGTGCCATTTTTTTATTGTTTGTATTTGCTTGAATTAAATGATTTAGTTTGTTTGTTTGACTGATGAGTCTGAAAAAAATTTATGGAGGCTGAATAATTCCATACAGAGCATACATTCATAAAAATTTCAAAACTATGTGACGTCATGAAAACAATTGCTGATTAGAAATTCTATAGTTGTAAGGAACTTAGCACATTATCAACTATTGAACTGTAGTATATGGTGCATAGTTTTATGAAAATTGTTTGGTGGTTTATGACGAAGTGTCATCTGTGCAGAGACCGTAAATTATTTTACGCTCTCTGCGTTGTCAACAAAACTCCAACAACAAAAAACAAACAAAAAAATTACGTAGATCGAAAAAATTCATCATCACACTCAGCAGCCGGCTGTTATAAAAAACTAAAATATTACCAAAAATTTTCAGTGAAAAATTCAAATAACTTCTGTCTCAAAATGCTGCAATGCGAAGAACTGAAGGACGATGAAGGTCCCTCGAATACGCTGGAACAGTTTACAGAATTAGCGCAAGTTCTCGAAATGATCGATACAATGAAAGCCTGTGATGCGTTAGGCTTTGAAAAAGATTATGAGCAGTATACGCAGGTTTTGTCGAGGTACGTAGTATCTTTAAAATAGAAAACTTAATTATTTAAAGATTTATGTTAATATTTATATTGGATTAGATATCAAGAGCAACCGCATTTACTTGATCCACACTTGGATGTGTTATTAGAGCGGCTGCTGGCAAAGGTTCGCAACAGGGCGTTGTCAGATGGCGAAATACATGCCGCCTTTAAATATTTGTATATTATTAGTAAAGTACGCACCTATAAAGTTTTGGTGAAATTTTTGCCGCATGAATTGAGTGATTTGGAATTTGCATTAGAAATGCTTGAGCGACAAAATCCACAAGAATATAAGCACTGGGAGACGCGTTATATGCTCTTGCTTTGGATGTCTATATTAGTTTTGAATCCCTTCCATATGTCACGTTTGGATGCATATGCCACCGTAAGCAATGAATCAACTTCAACTGGGAATTGTGTTGACGCCACAAATAGCACGCTGAATCATACTCATGGAAAATCAAAAATGGAAAGAATTTTTGATCTCTGTCAATTGTATTCTGCCACAAATGATACATGCAGCAACATTGCGGCATATTTGGCTGCAAAATATTTAGTACGCGCTGATATAAAAGACGTTTATCTGGAACGTTACCTTGACTGGGTAATGAGTCAACATCAAACAGAGACGGGGGATGCTAAATTTGGAGAATTAGCTGCCATCTCCGCAATTTTGAAGCATGGTAAGCGCGAGGATCTCCTACCATATGCAGACAAATTATTGAAATGGATTGTGGGACTTCAGTATAAGGATAGTAATGATTTTTTAAAGTACAAGTGCTATATTAAGATTGTACAGCGTATAGGTTTAGTGTATTTGAAACCACGGTTGGCAGGTTGGCGATACAAGCGCGGTAAATATATTTTCATTAATTACACAAAATTTTCTTCGAAATATTGTTAAATAAATTTCAAAATTCCAGGTACACGTTCATTGGCAATGAACTTAAATAAGACTACTGAATCTACCGCTGGCGATAATGCAGGCATTACTGACAATGACGCCGAAAATGAATTCCTTGATGGTGAAGAAATTATAGTTCCCGATGCTATTGAAGAAGTTATCGAAGAGCTATTACAAGCTTTGCGTAGTGGAGGTAGTGATATACGTTGGAGCGCAGCCAAAGGTATAGGACGAGTCACAAATAGACTCTCGAAGGAGTTAGCTGACGAAGTGATTGGCTCTGTTATTGATATACTAAATCCGCTTGAGCCGCATGAAGCGTGGCATGGCGCCTGCCTTGCGCTAGCTGAACTCGCTAAACGTGGTTTACTTTTGCCACACCGCTTGCGAACGTTAGTACCGCTTTTAATGCAGGCACTATTCTACGATGAAATGAAAGGTTACATGTCAGTTGGCCAGCACATACGAGATGCCGCATGCTACATGTGCTGGGCATTTGCACGCGCTTACAACCCAGAAGATTTTCAACCTTTCGTAGAACAAATATCTTCCGGCTTGCTAACGGTAGCCGTATTTGATCGTGAAATAAATTGTCGACGTGCTGCGGCTGCTGCTTTTCAAGAAAGTGTCGGTCGTTTGGGAAATTTTCCGCATGGCATAGAAATCTCAACGGCCACCGATTTCTTTTCCGTGGGATTGCGACAAAACTCATACTTGAATGTAGGTGATTATATAGCACAATTTGAGGAGTATCAGAAACCATTGATCGATCATTTAGTAGAGAGAAAAGTAAACCATTGGGATACGACAATACGTGAATTGACGGCTAAAGCTTTGCATAAGCTAACATACCGTGCGCCTGAATATATGGCCACAGTGGTATTGGGACAACTTTTTGGCAAGACTGAATCCATAGATATCAATATGCGGCACGGCACTGTGTTGGCTATTGGTGAAATAACTTTGGCTTTGAGCCAGTTAGAAAAGCAACAAGAAGGCATTGAATGTAAAAGATTGATCTCCAATCAATTGTTAACTGATCTCAACGAGCTGATGGCAAACTATGCACGTCGCGATATGTTTCGCGGTATGAGCGGTGAAATTATGAAACATTGTTGCACAGATTTCATCAGAAATTGTAGTTTGGCACGCATTGAGACAACAACTGTGTGCATAGGTAAGAAATTATTTAAATAATTGTTTGAAAATTAATAAATTTGGAGCTTTCCAGAATCATGGCAGTACATCATAGACAAATGCTTGCTAAACAAAGCACCAGCCATACGTGAGGGTGCCTATGCAGCTTTTGCAGAAGTCTGTCGTTCGTATTATAAGGATGACGAGCATGCTGTGGGCAATTCTGAAATTATTCGTTGTTATCTAAAGGGCGCCGAAAATAACATGGAAGAGCACATACGCATGGGTTATATAAGCGCTTTGGGCGCATTGCCTGATTTCATGATCAAAACCAGTTTGGATGATATACTTGAAAGTCTGATTAAGCATTCGCTTACACCAACCCAGGCTGTTATCACAACGGGTGATATGTTGAACCAACATGAGAATTTGGCAACGGGTACTTGGAGTGAAGCGCGACGTGATAGTGTTAGAGCTCTCAGTAATGTAGTGCATACAGTGGGATTTGATAGGGAGAGCAAAGGTAAATATTAACAATTTCAAATATTTTATAATTAAGTATGCACGCTAATTTTCGCTACCTTTTACACAAATATATAGTCTCTTTTGGCAATCCCGAATACTTCAATAAAGTGGTTGATTGCTTTCTGAAAGCTTTGGATGAATACACATTGGATAATCGTGGCGATATTGGCGCATGGGTACGCGAGGCAGCCATGACAGGTATTTTGAAGTTATTGGCAATTCTAAAAAGTTAATATTTATAACACATTTGATTGCATTTTTTTTTTGTTCTAAGCAATATATGAGCTTATCACAAAATGTCCGAAAGATTTACTGCAACCAGAGCATGTGCATAATATAATATTGGGCTTCATGCAACAGGCTGTTGAGAAAATAGATCGTACGCGTGGTCTTGCTGGTCGTCTTTTCTGCCAAATAATTACCACCACACCATTCATTCCGCACATACGCCACCATGACCGTTTACTTAAAATATTTCCTGCTGATTTTAATAGCATATTGTGGCTTTTCGCCGATCAGACATTCCCATTATTCTGTTCCTTGCTCGAATCGCCCGATTACTCGCAGCGAGTATTACTCGGGTTAAGCGCAAGCATTGGTCAGTTGACTGAATCTTTGGTGAGTTATCTCTTATCTATGATCTTTTTTTATAAATATATTTAGTTATTTTTATTATTATTCTTTTTATTATTTTAATTGAAAACCTTTTTTTATTCATGTTTATTTTTAAATTCATTAATTTTTTTAAAATATCAAAACTTTTTTCTTTTTTTAATTTTATTTATTTTGATTTTTTTATTATTTTTTATTTATTTGTTTAGATAACTTCTTCTTATTTATTTTTTAATATATTTGTTATTTTTATTTTTTATTATTTTCATTTTTTTATTTGTTATTTATTATTATTTTTATTTTTTGTTGTTATTGTTATTTGTGATTTTTTTAAAATATATTTTTTATTTATATTTAAATTATTTTTTATTTTTATTTAAATTATTTTTTATTTTTATTTAATTAGTTCTTTTTTATAATTGGTAAAATCTATTTATAAATTTTTTGTTATTTTTTATTTTTTTTTAATTTTATTATATACTATTTTTTTATTTACTATTTACATATTATTTTTTTTATTTACTATTTACATATTATTTTTTATTTATATTTTATTTTTTAATATGATATTTATATTTTTTTAAACTTTTTTATTATTTTAATTTACTTTTTATTCTATCATTATTATTTTTTATTTAATTTATTTTTTATTTTATTATTATTATTTTGTTATTTTTATTTAATTTATTTTTTATTTTTTATTTTTTATTTTTTATTTATTTTTTATTATTAAAATTTATTTTTTATATTATTTTAAATTTTTTAATCAATTTCTTATTCCTTTTTTATTTATATATTACTTTTTCAATTTTTTAACATTAATTAATCAAATTATTCCTAGATAAAATACTCTTCGGCAGCATTATTTGAATTTTTACGCACACATCCTTCAGAAGTGCCACGCTTATGCAAGGAAATAGTATCCAATTTCCAAGAGAATCTCATGAAAGAGCGCGTAACATATCCGATGCTGAACTTTTTGGATATTTTAATAAGCTCAGGTTAATATTTTTAACCTTATTTACATTTTCAAATTGAAATTTCTTTATTAATATTCCCCTCCCTTTCTAGGCACCATAAACGTAGTTTTATTGGACGAGACAAATACTTTTGGTGAAGACATCTATCGCCTGCTGAATCTGGAAACTAAGGGGCACAAAAAACTCTACAAACTTGTATCGAGCATAAGTGTATATTGCCAACTGGTGCAAGTGCCACATCTTTACAAACGCATTCTGTCCAAAATGTCGATATTTCTCGGTCTCACTCATGTGCATGTGCGCAAGACGAGTGCTACAAAATTATACGAGGCGTTGGCATTGCACGGTGATACTTGTGACATTCCCGAAGAAAATATGGATGAGATATTGAATTTATTATCTGAGACGGATTGGGGCTCACCGTTAATTACGGTGCGTCCCATACGTAATCAGCTATGCGAATTGATGGGTATTAAACCGCCAGTTAGTGGGGTAGCAGGCGTAAGTTCCGATGCGGCCAGTGTTGCTGAGGTGGGTGCGAGTGCTGCATTACATATTAGAAATTAAATTATTGTGGATAAGACATACGAATGTGATTATTCCTAAATTGAATGATACATTCAAGAGCCGCAAAGCGTGTAGGGAGAGCTGCACTTTCCCGTAAAGTATTCGAAATTTTTCCTTTTTTTACAGATGGAGGTTTAACTAGTGAATAGAGTGCATTGCTAAAAATTAATTATAATGCATTGCTTGCGAATAAGCAAAAAAAAAAAAAAAAATAAATGTTGCTAAATAACACAAAAATATTTTTTTTTTAATGGATTTTGTGTAAGGAAAAAGAAAAAGAAACATGTTTCCAGTATATTATTAAGTCCCTATCCCAAAACTCACTTTTCGAAGTGCCGAAGATAGCTGATGGCATGGAATGAAAGGAGTATTACAGAATATAAAAAAGAAATGCTTAAAAGCAGGAGGGAATTGCGCAAAAAGGAAGCCCAGTGGAAAAGGCTAAGCCCATAAACTACTGTCAATTATTCAACCTCGGCTAGTTTATCACGCAATGAAGAGTGGACCGGATGCAATAAGGAATCACACCTGCGGGTTAAAAGTACAAGAACTTGCCGGTGCTAAGACATGTCTATTGTAAGACTATTCATATCGGAACCACTCCGAACCATCGGCGGCCGTAGTAGTCGGTGTGTGCCATCATGTGGAGGGTCATGTGCTCGAAAATTAATTTAATAAATACATATTTTTTTCTAACTGCGCTCGACCCTTGACAGCGTATATCAAGCTCTCCGGAAAAGTATACAGCTAGTATTTACAATGGGTATACCGGACGGTGATATATGCAGGATGTGTAAAAGGACAGGCATTAGAAAGACTTAGGAACAACTCCGCTGTTTTTGATCGGTCGTTTGGCGAACACGCTACGTAGTCCAGATCTAATTCTTTGCCTCAAAGATAGAGTTTTTTCAGGCGCTGTTAAACTCCGCCCTCCGTTGACGTTCTCTGTGAGGAATACTACACCTCAAAATAGTCCTTCAAGGGACTAAAAGCTCTATTTACGGCGTGTCGTAGCAGCCAGCCAGTGCAACCTATCAGCCTGTTCGTATACATATGATAATTAAATAAAACCAATAATTTTTTTTTTAAGTTTTTGGCCTTAAAGAGCGTTTAATTTTTTTCACATAAAGATTTTAATGATAGATATTTTGAAAAAATATATATGTAATTAGAATAGTTCTTCAATTAATTATTATTAGTTAGTAAATGTGTAAATGAAAGAAACGCATAGGCAAATACATACATATTTTTCATTTTATGTGCGCACATATGTACTCATATATATATGTTTATAGATTGCTTATAAACTATTCAGACACAACTGAACTTAGAGTCTAATGACTAACTAATGCTGTTTGTTGCAAATTTACATACATATGTATACTTGTATATTTGTTTTTGTAAGCATATTCAACATTTTAAAGGAAAAATGTAGCATAACTTTATGATATTTGCGAAATATAGATATTTTTTTCAAATAATACCTAACTGTTCAACTAACGAATATTTACAAAAAAAAATGTAAGAAAAAGTAGATAAAAAAAATAATAAAAAAAAAAATAAAATAAAAAAGTATCAAAATTAAAAAAAAAAAAACTTCAAATAATAACGCTTTCGAAAATAAAAATTTCAGCACATTTATTTCGCACATATTTAAAACTAACCTAAAAATGTTTGAAGATCTTTTGAAAGTTTTTTTTTCTTTGCTAAAAATCGATGAATTTCTCGAATCGGAAATTGCATTTCTTAGTCAAAACAAAAGACTTGCGACACGAACTTGAATTTCGCATACAAATTTACAGGTAATACATTTACTTGAGAGAGTTTCCCATCGCTTACTTTGCTAATTAAAATAAATTGTTTTTTTTTGCTCTTCTTTTTCGTTTGCATTAACTTTGGTCTGATTTCGTTGCTTTTGAAAACTGCGCGAGTTTTTTTTACGCAGTGTTTATTAAAGTTACTTAAATATACATATTCTTTTTCAAATAAAACTGACTTGTGCTTGAACACTTAACGAAATGAAAATCTTCACTCTTCTACAGTTTTTCGGTTTCTTTTCTATTCCTTGATTTGCGTGCTTGCACGTAGTGTAGCTACATTGTCTACGCACGCGAAGCTGCAGGGATGAAAGCCCACAAATTGTACGCTCATATGTACATATATATGCCCACTCGAGCTTATATACTAACATATTTTCCACTTGAGGCTTGAGCTTTGTCTTTTCGACGCACTTACATAACACTAGCAATTACTTTAAATACACAGTATTTATTTAAATATTAATAGAAAAAAAAAACACTAGATTATACCACTGCACCACAATTTATACCGCTACAATTTTGCTGGGATCCACCTTTACACGCAGAAATACCGTATCGTCCTTGATGAAGGGTCGTCTGTGCAGCATTTCATGTGAAATGAAACGTGGAAATCCGAAACCCAACTGATCTGGTTCATTCGATGGCCGCTGGAAGTTCTCCCATGTTGGATCGGGCACAAACGACTCGGCAACACCACCCTGACCTGTCTGCGCGCCCTGCTCGAAGAGCGTAAATGTGATGGAGTGTGCGAAGGGCCATTTTAAGAGCGCATCATATTCACCGGGTAAGACTTTAATGTAAACCGAAACATGTGTATTCTCGCCAGGTCCGTTACCGTTGAGAAACATTGAAGCTTGTAGCTTATAACCATATTGTGAGGTGTAGAATGGTGGTGAGACCAATTCCAAACCATCCTTGCTGCGCGCCTCTGTCATCTTCGCTGACCAATCGGTTATTTTCCACAACAAAGTGCCTGTGTAGTTGATGGACAATTTCGAGACGGCGGTCTTTAACATTTGTATCTGTTGTCCCTGACGTGATGAGAGCGAGACCATTAGAGACAAATGTGAAGCGGCATTTGCCTCCAAATGCGCTTCGAGCATGTGTCGAGGACCCTTGAAACGACAACCAGCTTCTTTAAAACTACACGCGATGGCGAGTGCTTTGCATTCATCACGCAAATGTGCTTCCATATCACCGCGTGCAATGGCACCGACATCGCAACGCTGCGGACATGTCAGCGGCGCGCGTGGACATTGTGCCACATGTAGTGGCAGTGTGTCGCATGAGAATTCACGTGCACAGTGTACACAACGTCGTAAACGTTTGGCACAATCCTTGGACTTGTGCAGCGTCATACGTCCACGTAGTACACGCTGACCGCACTTGGCTTCACAGTAGATGGGCTCCTGGCCGCATGTGCCGGCATGTTCCTCCAGGCCGGCACCGGAGAATTCACTCTGACAAAATTCACATTTCGTACGGCGCATGTTGCAGGTGAACTGTAGGTGATCGGTCATCATGATGCGTGGTATCTGAGCGCCGCATTTGTTGGGACATTGTGTGGCATCGTGCTTGCAGACGTTCAAGTGGCCCTGGAAAAGGAGAGAAGCGTAAAAGAAAATTAATGTAACTATGATTAAAGCGGGAAATGTGTAATTAACTAAATGACTGCTGACGGTAAATCATGGTTTGTCATAAAATATTGCTGAGCTTAAACTTTAGATCAACTTATAGTGTAAGTAGTTATAAAATAGAAATATGGTGTGAAAGCAGATATGGCTAGACATAAAATATGTTAAGATGTTAAATATTTTTAAACTAAAAATATGATTAGATATTAAATATGGTTTGACAAATAATATGGTGAGACATAAAATATGGTTAAACATAAAATCCGGCTGGATTAAAAATTATGAAAACATTTTTACAAAAAATGTTACTAAAATTATAATGCATTTAGTAGATATCTATATGTATGTACATAAGTGTAGTTCAACAATAAATGTTACTAAGCTACTTAGCTTAGTGTAACTCGGTTGGCTCTTAAATATTATTTTAACAACAAGATAATTAAGTAACAATACCTTTTGTGAGGTTTTCTTTCTATTTTTTCTAATTCTCCATTTCTAAAAAAAAATCACTTCACCCCGGCGGCTGACCTTTGTCTCATTCACTGCTAAGAATTCGTTAATTCACAAGAATTTCAACTAGTGCTGCTTTTATGAATGAACACAAAAATCATAAACCTGAATATGTTGACGGTTTTGTTATGTTTAAACTTAATGAATCTAATAAAGAGTCTAACAATAGTTAGGATTACATTTTTTTTTTGTACATATGGCGGACTTAAGACATGCTTTTTGAAAGTATTAAACTAATGAATGAAATTATAATAACTTTGTACTAGTCTACCTGTGACTCGGCTGGTGCTATGAACTTGTTAGTCGAAGCGACTTAAATATAATTAGTTTTTAATTTTGCTGTATACCAAGAAAATTTTAAATTTAATGGAAATGAACATGTTTATGTTTTTTATGTTAAGCTGTAATTTATACTTTTTTACAAAATTTTTTTAATATTTATACACACCTTCAGTTTCCGCAGCTCATCTGACCATTTACAGCCCTGTTTGTGATGTATACAAAAGACGAGCGAACCCATAATGGCTTGTTTGGGATCGGGACCGGGGTAGATCTGAAAGCAAATGAAAAAATAATAATAGTTTTTATTAGTTAAATAATGTTGTAAGTGGTAAATTTTTAAAAAAATTTTGGAAAATAATTTAAACCCTTCAAGGCAACATGCCGCAACAACCTGATATTCGCCTTTTTTGCTGAAAATATTTCTAATACGCTTCATCAATAACTTTCCACAAATGTATATACTTTAACTACACTTTGAACGTTCTCAGACTGTCATAAATTTGTTATAGGCATTGACATTTATACCCTGTCTTGTTGATTTAGGCGCGTCAGCTTAAGGCACAGTTGTCACCACTAACATAGATTGTCTGGCGACCTGTTGGGCAGTGAAATTACAATTTTATTTGCTCTATCGATGACAAGCGCTGATTAGGTTGGATGAGCATTAGTCGTGCGCAGTAGGCAATAGATTTAGTTATCAGTTTGGCTGCTTAAATATTGGAAATTTCGTTGCATTGTACAAAAATAAAGCAAACAAGTTTTAAAGGAAAACAAAAATTTTTACGTTAGAAAAAAAAAAAAACAAATCAAGTGCAGCGATAAAGCCAAATATACTAAAAGGCATTGAAAATACCTTTATTATTCAATACGTACGTATGTACGAGTATGTACATATGCATTTATTTACATATGTGTGTGACATTTTGTATTTTGCAGTCAACATGGAGTTGGATTTCATAATTGAGCTATTTTTAACACTTGCATTGCAATTTAAAAAAATTTTTCTCACATTTTTACTAATAATTCGTACTTCCTTATATTTGTTTGTTACCTTTCCGAATCAAAATATGCTCATTCCCTTATTTTGATGTATTTTATTTTATTTCATTTTTTTATTATTCGATTTAATTTTTTTACTTCACTTTATTTTATCTTGTTTTGTTTAATTTATTTTATTTTACTTTATATTATATTTAATTTTTTTTAATAATTAATTTATTATTTTTTTACTTCATTTTATTTTGTTTTATTTTATTTTATTTTATTTTATTTTATTTTATTTTATTTTATTTTATTTTATTTTATTTTATTTTATTTTATTTTATTTTATTTTATTTTAGTTTACGTTATTTTACTTTTTTTGTATTTGACTTTGATTTAAATTATTTTTTTATTTCTTTTGTTGTTTAAGCACACTGCTTACTTGTACATACATTCATTTAAATGAAACACATTTTATGCAAATTATACCCTAGCTGTTATTAATGAAATGTGCACAAATTCATTTAAACCACTTACAACAACTCCAAGCCGCCTGATGATGTTCCCCTTTATGTAGTGCAGCAAAAGTAATCGGCATAATTGTATGTTGCTGTAACATTTTACTAAACTTATTTATGAATACGCAAGTGCAAACCATTCTAAAGAGTACGCCAAAAGCAAAATATTAAAAAAAAATTAAAAACTTATAGAAAAAAACACAAAATGAAATTCAACCAATGTAAATTGCAAGCTCATGCTCATGCATGCAAGGTACGAAGAGAAACGACAGTTTCACTGAGTATGCAACGAGTGCGCCAACAGTACTATGTAATGCTATGTTCTACAGTACAATGTAATAACACGAAGGACTGTGGTACATAATGTAAAACAGAGCAACACCACATCCGGTTGATTATAAGGCATAAAAATAATATATGAAATAAAAATTGGATAAAATGCCATTGTGAGCACGCGAATGAAAGAGGATTTACTATCAGAAAGTATTGTCGGTCGGACAGCTGTTTAATGGAAAAATGCGTGCGATTGCAGCACGAAATGCAGAGTTAAGACGTTTCGCTGATATCACAAAAGAAAAAAAAAACGCTGCACTGATGTCGGCATAAATGAATAGCTGCGTAAAAAATATGGATAACATAACATAGGCATAACGAAATGTGTGCCGACCGTTTTTTATATACAATACACGCAATCAAAATGAATAAAAATAAATAACAGAAAAGAGTGAAAGCAAAACATTGCTTTTGAATAGTTACAAGAAGGTTAAACTGCCGTAGAAGATCTACTTGCCCTTGTAAACTAAACTTCTATTGCATTTTGTCACAAATATCTGCAATTATTGTTGCTTAGTGGTTGTGAACGCTTGTCGCCTTTTGTCTCCAGCTAGTGACAAACATTTCCGGTTGCCTTTTTTAATTGACCTTATCTCTGACCGCTGTAGTTTTGCTAAAGCATAAAAAGGGGCATACACAATCTCTTAGCACATGCATATATGTATGTATGTATGCAGCTCCTTCAGCAGAAAAACAGAGCCAAGCGAAACATATGCAATTAGCATGATGTGAGCTAAGAAGTTGGACAGTCGGGAAGGGAATTGTTGTGATAAATTGTACTGTCTCATGACAACAGTAAAACTGAAAACATACATGTGTAAATGTATGTTTATCATTGAACAAATACTGCTATTAAAATATTGTTACATATACATACATATGTACATGCGCGTATAAACATTGCCGTCTGCGCTTAAATCTGCAATGACAGAATTTAATTAACACATTTGCCAAGATAAATTCATTTATATTTGTATGTAAAAATCCACAAAAGCGGAAGTGCACTACTACTGCAACTGATGATAATATGATTGTAAATGCTTTTTAAGATTTTTTTAACTTGTGCTATCAATGGCAATAAAAGTTTATAAATTAAAATAATTTCATAAAAAAAAAGTTTAGTACGACAGTTTCGCGCAGCAAATTCATGCTTTTAAATGTCGTTTTAACAGGCCTATTCTGTCGAGGTAACAAAATTTACTTTGGTATTACAATTTACCACTCGGTAAATTTTGTAACAAATTTTTGTAACAAAATTTACTTTGGTATTACAATTTACCATTCGGTAAATTTTGTTACCATTTCGTATTCTGTGTTCACTGTCACCCTGTAAATTTTGTTACCATCGAAATAGGAGGTAACAAAAAAATCTGCTTTTTGATTTTGTGCTGTTAGTTTGAGAAAGAATAAAAACCGAAATAGGTAGGCATACTTTATGCCTGGAATTCATTGAAGATGAAGAAAAAAGTGGAAAAAGGTGTATGCTAAGAAGTTGCGAGAAAAATATTACCCTTTTAATTTGGAAGGTAACGTTATAATTTAGCTTTATTATTGCCGTTTAGGCATATTTTTCCACATTATTTGAACCTAATTATAATTAAATAAACAAGTAAATAAAGCTTATTTATGCATATTTTATTCCTATTTTTTTACTTTACCAAAGGGAAAATGTAATTTGACAAGGACGAAAAAAGCAGTGTAAGCAATACCGGTAAGTGTAAAATGTAAAAGGTCATTTGCGGCTGTTAACATATTGTGAAGGAGATCAATCATGTTAAATTAACAGCGCTATGTAATATTGCTGCATAGTAAACTCTTGTTATTGACTTTTTTGACAGATAAGTGTTTAATTATTTCAGCGACTTGCGACATAAATAAATTATAATAAAGAAATTCCTTGAGCTATTTTACACTATTGCAATAAAATACAAATTGCTTAATGTCAAGCAGCTGCATTTTCGACTTATTGACATTTCCTACGTAAATACGTACATTTGTATATTAGATTGAATTTTTAATTTACATAAATCACAGTTAAGCAAGGTTAGAAAAGCAGCGGTACATCACCACATTTGTAACACGTGTGCTTATCTTTGTTAAATAAGCTTCTTTTTAAATGGTTTATGTTGAACTTCCGTTGGGAAAAAATATACTGAAGGAAAGAGTGCCACAAGCTAACACAATTTTTTCCATTTTCTTGCGGAAAGACAATTTATTTTACTTATTTATGTATGTAGACACATACATACATATATAAGCGACAAATTTGTTTGCTTACTTTATTAGTGTTATCTTCAACAAAATAAAAAAAAAAATAACATGTTCATATGAGTACAAGCCTATATCGAGCAGCGGAATAAAAATTACGGCAAAGGAATTTGAATTTATGTTAATTTGTTTGATCAAAATTTTTTTCGTGTCTCTTTGTGGAGTGTGTTTGCGTTCAAATCCCTGCAACGGAAATCGACACAATAAGCTGATTTGACTTTCCATTTCAATGGAAAAAAAGAATACGCTAAGAATGTTGGAACAAATAAACACATATTCGTATATATAAAATCAAAGCGTTATTAATGCAATAAAGCTTCAAATAACCCGCTGTAGGCATTTATTTCTAAATTTAGTAATTTAATTTTTCTGTTTGTTAAATATGTTTCAGTGCTTTCAGATGCAACTACATACTTTACTTTATAAATTTATATTTCTAGCATATCATATCTCCTACAGCTACACCTAGTAGTCTCATATGAAAATGTACGCTGGTGCTGTTTTTCGTAGTATGTGCATATGTAAGTGGCACTTAAAATGAATGTTGCACCCTTTTTAATAGCACGACAGACACACGATTATATTTAAAAAAAAAAAAAAAGGCTCTTAAGAATGTGCGGTCACATATGATTAGTCGCATAAGCACATACATACATATATAGCTACATACGTATCATATCAGCGCTTCATATTACGCCCAAGGGACCCATGCAAAGCTTCATTTGCTGATCGTCTGCCACTCAAAAATTTGTCTTAATTCTTTGAGTGGGTAATTTTTAGAAGTGTTAGCCCTGCATATGTTTGTATTATGATCTATATATACATAAGTTTAGCATGAAATTTTATTTTATTTTTTTTCCGACTTTAATGACTTGTCACTGTAATTCATTTTAGAATTTATAATATAATTGTTGCATTTGTTTTTTTTTTAGTATTATATTCATATTTGAACTTACAGTAAATTAATGTGAAAAATGTGCACTTGAATCTCTAAAAAAGTGATCAAAGAGAAAGACGGACTACACTAAAAAAGGAACAAAAAAGTTTTCTTTTTGGTTATTAAAAGCAACAGATATAGCGATGAGCATGGAAAATTTTAAAACGCTTAAAACTGAATATATTCTAATATTGTTATGTTACTCCAAGGTTTAAACGAGATACAAAATGGCCT